GTGTTGGTTAAGGACGTTCGATCCTAATATTTTGAGCGTATTTCGCGCAGGTCCTTTATTCATAAAATTAAGCATCATTTTTAGGTTCTTACAATAAAACTGAATTCTACAATGCAAATTAAACTATATTCAATGAAAAAACCGTGATTAAATTCCATTCAAGTAGAATTAAGCTAGGGACTATATTTTGTGGCGGAAGGTTTTTTTTAGACGAAAATGGTCAGTTTTTTCCATTTGAACTATAACAGTACTGTTATAGTTCTGGATGCCTATTTTTCCATGCTGGTTGCACACAAAGCTGTTTTTTGCAGTGAAATATGTTATGCTGGTTCTGAAATATCTATTAAATTATTTCTTATGAATTCTATCAACAAAGTGTGACAAATATAGTAAATATATTCTGAAAATCCGGGAAAAAATTGAGCCAATTTTAACTAAAATTCACACTTTTTTAGTAATATCTGAAAATGTAATCCGAGATTCCTCTGACTCTAACCCCCGCTTTTATATTATGACTTGTGCGGGGGAGAGTCTCTCCCCCGCACAAGTCATAATATAAAAGCGGGGGTTAGAGTCAGAGGAATCTCGGATTACTGAAAATGTACATCATATACCCCCACTTTTGATGTTCTTTTCAAAATATTCAAGATAACTTTGACCTGTTTGCTTAAACTCAGAAAAAGTTTAAGACTTTGAAATAATTTTCTTGCTTATTATATTTTCAATGCCGGAAAAATAACATTTTATTACTGCAGAAAGGTCAAATAATTGATCATGCGAAGCAATTTGATACTTTTTCCTAGGCACAATTTTTAAGTGTCTTTTTTTTAAAGAGACTTAGAGTTCATTTTGTTTCATGCTTTAATTGGATAAAAATATTGGAGGGAAAACGTCGAAGATGTAAATTTTAATTAAGACACAAATTTCAGTGCAGAAAGGTCATATTAAATGTACTGTAGCGGTAAAAGAAGCATATTGACCCCCATTTTTTGATTTGAATTTTAATTAAGCTATGTATGTAGAAACTAAAAATATACTTGGCAAAAAAAGTTTAAGACTTTAAATATCAGGATCGAACGTCGTTAAAATAATTAATATCTGAAGAAGAAGCTAGTACAAATTTCCTTGAAATGCAATGTTCATATAACAACATTGAGAAAAAATGGTTCAAGAAGATTTGATTTTGTGTCAAATACGAAGTTGTTATATATTTGAAATTTTACATTTCATGGAGATCATAGTGAATACCTCTAAAACAATGAAAATTAACCCCCATGCAGATTTGTAATTTCGCAGCATAATTAATCTATTTGGCAATAAATGATCCCAATGGTCTGAAATATTAAGTGATACACATAGGTCCTAATGGTACTTGTTTCAGATAGATCTAGTGTTGGACATTAAAATCATACTTAAAGCAATGCTCAATGCATGTCTGGATTTGGGAGTTTTTTAATTTAATAATTTTACAAAGGATATGATACCAGATGAAGATTTGTATTATAAGTTTGTTTAAGCCAATCTAATATAATTACCAGTTAGTCTGGGATTGAGTGACCCATTTCTCTCCTAGGTGGCAGGTGCAAATTAGAACCAATAATAAAAGCTTTTAGCCATTAACACTTGCCAAATTGAAAATAAGGACGATAAAGATGATTTACTAGCAGATTTAAACCGTTGAAATCCCAAGAGCTCTTACAAAAAGAAATAGACTATAGGTTTGGAGACAGGTTATGTTTAACAGCTGATAGAGGTCAAAGTTCATCTCACCTGGAAAATATATAGATTTAGCTTGATTGTTGTGGATTATGTCATGTTACATGCAGTTTTATTATTTGTTTAGCAAACACAATTGACTGATATGATATGGGGATGATCTCATACATTCATAACACCGATTTTAACAAGGGGTACCGTACGGTACAAACAGTAAACTAACTTTTGTATTGAAGTTAAACACCTGATTATTGGTTTGCATGTTCATTTCTTCTAAAGATTCCTTTGCAGGGGGTGTCTGAGATATTGTAAGAAATGGGTAACACTTTTAATCTATATGATAGAAGAGATTTAATGAACAAACTCTTTGAAAGAAAATGTTGATTCAAAGGTGCACCCTGGTAATAAATTCCTTCTTCAAGTGGTTAGCCACTACATAAAGCTGGGGCGATGAATTATTTTTACCCCTTGAATTCTCAGTGGAGGTAGTCTTGTCAAAATCAAAGCTGGGATAGTCTATACATTGACTCTGATGTGAATGTGTCACCACTTATATAATAGTGTTGCATTATGCATGTACTATAAAGGGTTTGACACATGGTGCACGAGCCGGAGGCGAGTGCACTATGTGTCAAACCCTGCCTACTATTTAGGCATAGTACATGCATTATGCAACACTATTGTTATTATTATGCTGACTGTTGTTAAATTATTTATGCGGCAATCCGTTTGATTTTTTCGATCTGAAAATAATGGTGGTAACACAGTGCACTTGCAAAAACTCATTCAAAATCTTCATGCTAAAATTAGTTGCATGCTTAGTTATTTTTGTTACTAGTATTTTTTCTAAATAAGTCATTCTTTATTTTCTGTTTTGTTAGTAAGACTGATTTGTTTACAGACGTGGATTCATATTGATAATTTTCTTTTACATCCTTCAATCAAGCGCTATATAAAAAGCGTTCTAATGACCCCATGATATCAATTCATCAAACGATCTGTATGTAATTAGTTTGAAACTTTGTTGTACACATTTATCTAAGATTCCTTAGAATAAATATAACTGTTTTCAAATAATATTTGTCTATTTTCTCCTTCTTGTGTCAATTGTATAAATTAAGTTTATATATTTAATAAAATTCTTCCAATCAGTGATCGTCTCTGTGGCGTAATCGATAAGGCATCGGACTAACCTCGTGGTTGTGAAATGTGTGCATTGAAGAATTTTACATTGCATAGTATGCTTACGCTATATAAATCCTTAGACCACTATGCGAGAATAGTAGGGTATGGGTTATATAGAGACAAACTGACAGGAAGCATAATAATATGAAATAAAGCCATAACTAAACAGCATGAAATATTTTAATTAATGTTTAAAAATGAATGGGTAGGGGAAATACTTTAAGTGTGTACGAGATTGTTGAACTTCTTTGACAAAGGAGCTGATCATTTCATAACCATTATTAAGTAAATGTGAAATACATTGTTTCTGAGCATTTAACATAGCCTTATAATAATTTATTGGACAGTAATGCTTTGGTTGTAGGATACAATTAAGAGGATATGGCTGGATTTTTAGTTTACACTACCTTCCACCTACCAGCGATAGACACATACTAAAGTATAATACATAGGCGTGAATTTTACTTAGTATAGACATTGAACATATCTTCTTCCCCCCCCCCCACTTTCCACGGCTAGGTCTTAGTATAGGTTAAAAATGCGGAAAGTGGTGGTGTTAGGAAAAAAGTTTGGTACTGAAGTTCGAACCTACCCCCCCCCCCCCCTGCTTGTCAGGTTTTTTTTGAAGGTACAAATTTTTTTTTACACTTAGCCCCCCCACTTTCAATTTGCTTCCGACGCCAATGTAATATACTAGAAAATGGCAGACTAACCATATATTTACAAGATAATTCAATCAAGTCATTTATGTGTCAGTGGGGACATAAACAGTGTCACATAAATGTCACTTCTGACCTTCGCTCTGTCCACTACAGATGACCAAGTGTGATGGAGATCAATGACCACAGTCCCCGACTGTTAAAGGAGTGAAATCTTAATAGTATTAATGTAGTAGTGAAGATACACGGCATCCTACGCTTGGGCTAGTCAGTAGTGGGTTAACCTTTGTTTGCCATGACTGGCAAGCCAGAGCCCGGGTTCAATCCCCAGCAGAGGCACAAAATTGTTTCTGTTACAGTAACGCTGGTAATTTTACTATCCTAGGATTCTCTTGTGAATCAGTTAACTTAAAAAGTATTTGATCTGGTAGGGAGAGTATACAACATAATGTGTGAAGCATTTACACATCAAGTGCCAAGCATATGTATATTACATGTATATGTTATAATATCTGACATATTACATACTGTTGTATATATAATAAAAGATTTTATGAATAGAGAGCACATAGAGAGTTGAACAGTTCCTGCTCTGAAATTTAAAAAAAAAAATAAAGAAGATTTAAATTGTTATTTTTAAGTGTGTTTTCTTTCGAACAATGTTCAGGTACTATCAGCTTAAAGAATCAAAGTTAAAAATCAAATTGTAACAATGCATGTATTGAGGAAAGGTTTGGGAAGAATTTCAGTCAGTTAAAAATCTCTCATGCCTGATTTGCTTAAATTTTTATGGAACAATGTAATGTTTTTCTAAGTAAGAGGAAAATGAGGTATTATGACCCTACGACTGGCTACGAGTGGATGAAAAGTTTTTGACAAGAATTTTAATTTGTTTTCTTTATAGGGTTGCAGGTCATGATCAAAAGCTATCAAAATTATAGTTGACACAGCAAAAGAATTTATTACTAAACATTACTTTAAATCTTAGAAAATTGAGAGTACATACTTAAATTATTATGTTGCCTTGTCTTGGGGAAACTAATGAGAAGTTACTTCTGAATCATGGTTTAATTTGATGAAATGAAATATGGGAAAACTGCACAGGTGCTTGCCTGCAATATGAAAAAGTTTTATGAGATACATAATAACCATTATCGTCAAATATTTAATAACAGCTCACAATGAGAATAGAACTGAAATTTTTATTGATGCATTTTAAGTGAATGATTTCAATAAGAGGCACTTTTTGCCCCGAAGTTCCCATGTTGAGAGGGATTATGTTTATTTAATTTGATTTACTTCAAAGTTAACAGTGCCTTTATTATGTTGATACAATCTCAATTTTTTAAAATTTGGATTTTGCTTCTGTAATTTATGATAATAAGGCATTGGATTGGTACCCACCATGAGAATATTGAATTAAAGTTTTCTCTTTTCCAGGTTTATCAGGTAGCTTATGTCATAGTGAAAGCAGCCAACTCCCCCAGACCAGGAAACTGGATTTTAGAGAGATCCATAGATGGTATTAATTATCAGCCATGGCAGTACTTCGGAATCCGTAATCGAGACTGTAAAAAAAGATACGGAGTGAAGGCTAGTCGTAAAATCCCCACCTACCTCAGAGATGATGAAGTCATCTGCACAACCAAATACTCAAAAATCTACCCACTGGAAAATGGAGAAGTAGGGTTTGAAACATTTCTAAAATGTCATTTGTGGACAAGAAGTAAATGTAGAATTCTTTTTCATAAGATATCACCATGAGATAAAATAAGAATGTACATGCTGTGAACAATTATATAGAACAGTCAGCTTAATGCTAATATTTATGTTTTGCTTGCAAGACACAATATAAAATAGATTATGAGTAATATCAGTCATATAAACTGCATGGTTTTATTTTAATTACATTGTCAAAATTGTCAACATATTTTAGCAGAACTGGTTTCAGTATTATGCTATTTTTAAAAGAATGAAAAAAAAAATCCATGTTTAATTATATTTTATAATCTGCATGTCATTTTAAGTGATGAATCTGCTCCCTTATGTGTAAAAGCCATGTACCTTCATATTTTTATGTTTTTTGTAGATTTTCATATCACTTGTCAATGGAAGACCAGGGGTGAAGAAACCCAGTCCGACTTTACTTGTAAGATTACATCTTATACACTATTAAATTTGTGTTCTCTTAAATTCTTTTAATATTTGCAAGTATGATGTCCCATAAATTAAGCTAATTTTCCACATGGTGTATTGACTTTGTAAACATGGTTCTTGGTGTGAAGATAAATTTCGGGCATTAGCTGTTTTGTCAGGGTGATGGGGTTCTCTTGTTTTATGAACGCTTTAATCTGATACAGACATCAAAGTCAAGGTATGGGGCTTGATTACTCTTTTAGATGATCCACAACTGATCGTAAAATGCAGGAGGTTTATGTTTCAGAAATTCCTTTCTAATCCCATTCTAATAAACATGGACATAGCTGTTTAATCAGAGATGCATGAGCAGAGTCTCACTCCCTCTGTAAACTCAGGTTTTTACTAAATGACTCCATCGGTGTTTTATGGGAAGCATGTTTAGTGGGGTTGAAAAAAAAAAAAACTTGATCAATGATGATGGAGGTTAATTTCCCCCAAAAAATTATATTAGATTTTTTTCTTATGGTCATACTGACATTAATACTTAAAGAATTTACTTTTTTTAACATGCCATATACATGTATCTTAATTATGAGAGTGATACGTCATTAATCAAGTCCCGTTTATTACATGTATACTATAGGTTTTAAAAAATGGAATAAATATATATTGCCAAAAATGTTTTTAAAATTAGACCTTAGTGAAGTCTAAATACCATGTTTTCAAATTCAATTGCTATGTTCCATGTGAAAAGGGGAAGAGCTGCTGTAATTTTATCTTTTATACCTTACACCTTAATAACCTATGATTGGTTAACACATCAAGTCTCTAATGGAAGTTTTGGCTTTTGATTCATCATCTCTCATTTTTTTATCATGCAGTTATGATACAACATTTCAGTTATATCATTTAAGCTTACAAAGGTTTCTTCTGTCATTTTCAATCATACCTCCTTTTTTATTTTAGATTTATGAGGTGTAATTGATATAATTGAGATATATGTGGGTATTTTAAATCTTAACAGGAGTTTACATCAGCCCGCTATGTCAGACTGAGATTACAGAAGATAAGGACACTCAATGCTGACCTTATGACCTTTAGGTCAACCAGTGACCTCAAGTTCATAGATCCATTTGTTACCAGAAGGGTAAGCTCATTCTTTACAGAGGATATTATCTTAACATTTAGTTTTTATGTACTCTTAGGTACATTTAATGTTTATTGCTTTGCACTTTAATGTGAAAATTTTGATATAGCTGTAGTCTGAAATACAGTCAATTGGGATTTTTAATTTATTGAAAAATAAAGAAAATATTTTTGATTCAAGTCTATAGATTATAATGATGATAAATTTGATTATTATGCATAGTTAGCAGAGTTTTTCCAGAAAGTCTAGTATTTTTTTTTTTTTTTTTGGTGACCTATGTTTTAGATCCGTCGTCCGTCGTGTGTTAACATTTGAACATTTTCAGCTTCTTCTCTAAAACCACTGAACCAATTTCAACCAAATTTGGTATACAGCATCTATGGATGAAGGGGAACAAAAATTGTGAATTTCATGGTCCCCGCCCCCTTGGGGCCTGAGGGGTGGGGCCAAAACCTCTAAAATTAATGAAATCTTTAAAAATCTTCTTCTTTACTCCTGGACATCAAGCAGGCAAACTGTTGGCATGAATGTAATGAGCATTGGGTCCTCTACCAAAATTGTGAAATTCATGGCCCCAGGGTCAGGGGTTCTAGTGCTAGGGCGAAAATCTTCTCTGCTTCTGGGTATTAAATAAACTAACTAAGCACATAGTTATGATGAGCAAGAGTGCTTCTTCCAGATTTATGAATTTTATGGCCCCAGGGTCAGGGTTCTGGTAGTAGGGCAGGGCTCTTTTGATTAAATAGTGAAAATGCATTATTTCTTTGAAAATCTTCTACTCTACTTCTGGGTATTAAATCAACTAACTAAGCACATAGTTATGATAAGCAAGAGTGCCTCTTCCAAAAATTGTGAATTTTATGGCCCCAAGGTCAGGGGTTCTGGTGTAGGGCGGGGCTCTATTGATTATATAGTGAAAATGCATTTATTCTTTGAAAATCTTCTTCTCTGCTTCTGGGTATTAAATAAACTTACTAAGCACATATATATAAGCAAGAGTGCCTCTTCTAGATTTGTGAATTTTATGGTCCCAGGGTCAGGGGTTCTGGTGTTAGGGCGGGGCTCTGTTGATTATATAGTAAAAATACATTAATTCTTTGAAAATATTTTCCTTTGCTTCTGGGTTTTATGCCAATGATCCAAGTATATATATATTTATGATGAAGAAAGATGCATCTAGCAAAGTGGTTTTTTTATGCCCGCAGGGTCAAAGGTGTGGGGGGGGGGGGGTTACATAGTCTGAAAATAAATTAAAAATCTTTTGCTATTAATCAACCATTTTATGATTACATTTGCAAAATTTTGAAATATGTGGCCCATGGGTCAGTGGGTGAGGTGCACAACTGGTTATAAAGTTTTTTCTCTTTGTTACTCTGATCTACCTCTGGGTATTAAGTAAACAGAGTAAGCATGCTAAGTTAATAATTATGATAAGCAATTGTGCCTCTTTCAAAATTGTAAATTGTAAATTTCATGGCCTCCGGTTTAAAACACAAACCAAATATAATTGTTTGAAAGTTGTTACACAATACTCAGGTGACCTATAAGGCAATGTTTTAGATGTAAGTTTTCCCCTTCAATTTTCTCATTTCAGTACTTTTACTCAATAAAAGATATTTCTATAGGAGGGCAGTGCATATGCTATGGTCATGCAGCAACTTGTTCACCAAGACCTAACACTGATGTAAGTATGCATCTGTACGAAAAATTCTGTGTATCCCTGACATATGAGCATTCATATAGAAGCTCATGATAGAGTATATATAATGATTGTAATAGACATATCAGTGAATAAAAAAAATTATAAGATAAAAAAAATTTAAAATGTTGATAGTTTTCAGAATAACAATTTGTGTGCTCTAATTAAAATTAATTTTCTGTTGTAGAGGCTGTATTGTGAATGTAAGCACAATACCTGTGGCAATAATTGTGAGAAGTGCTGTGAATTCTACTACCAGAAACCATGGCAACCAGGAAACACTGGCCTTAAATGTGAAAGTATGACCCTCAGTCAATTATAACTAATGGTCAATGACCATTGGAACAAAAAAACTTTCAACTGAATGAATATTTATTCATCTATGTAGTTGCATATCTGTCTGTTTGCATAAAACAAAAGTTAACTGTGTCAAGTTGCATCATTTACTGTATCAGTTATATGTAGTTCATGTATTGTGCTTTAGAGAAAAGTTAACAAAAGTGAATCACTTTTGCTAAGTCTGTGAACATTTGAAAGGTATAACATACTATATTTCCAGGAAAACAAGCATGTAGCGGTAGTTCATAAGTCCCTTGTTAATCTTAATTCTTTGTTACAATAGATGCTGCATACTTTGAATGAAATTTGTCAAAATTGAAAAATTAAAATGATATAAATTTTCTGTTTGATTTGACAGGATGTAATTGTCATGGGCACTCTACTGAGTGTGTGTATAATGCCACAGTGGATGCCATGAAACTGAGTCTGAACACAGCAGGGGAGTATGATGGAGGCGGTGTCTGTATAGATTGCAAGGTCAGGTCAAGGTCATTTTTACAAAATTAATCTTCTTTGGATCAATGAACAACAGTAATTGACACTTTTGAATTTTGTGATAGGACTATACCACTGGGATCAATTGTGAGAAGTGTATAGAGGGTTATTATCGTCCACTGGGGGAAACCCCAAACTCCCGTTTTCCTTGCCGACCTTGTCGTTGTGAGGTCACCTTGGGGTCAACGGGAAAATGTATTCAAGATGATAGTCTGATCAGTGAAGGAAAGGTAAATCTTGTTACGTTTTTGTATTAACATTCTATTTTTGTGTTTGATATTCCTTAATTTGAAAATAATAAGTATATACTTTCATCGTTAGTATTTGGTAAGATGTTTTACTTTTCTTTGTAGAGACCTGGAGACTGTTTGTGTAATGAAGGCTATGGGGGACCAACATGTCAGGAGTGTGCGTTTGGTTACTATGGTTACCCGTACTGTAAACCCTGTCCATGTAACAGTGCAGGAACACTGAATTCGCAGCAGTGCAGTGGAAATTGTGTGTGCAAGGTGATAAACTTTTGGCATTTTGTTTGACCTGCTCCATTTTATTTAGGAATAAATTTTAAAAATTGAATATGATGAGATGAAGTAAAAATGAAATCTTTAAAAGTTATATGTCGAAATCTTTACAACAAAGTATAAGGCTGGAGTCTTTGTTCAATCTGTTAAACAATTGATCTACAGGAGAATGTTGAAGGTTTTAAGTGTGACCGGTGTAAGCGGGGATACTTTAACCTCCACAAGGACAACCCTGTAGGCTGTATGTCGTGTTTCTGTTTTGGGGTGTCTTCTGTTTGCCAGTCCTCTAATCTGGGCTTAATCAAGGTAAAAATAATCAATTGTGTATAGAGCACATGTTTTGTGAACAGTGTCAAAATACACAAAATCAATGTTTACGTTTCAGCATCAATTTTCTTCACTCTTTGTTTCACGAATATTGAAATGAATCGCAATTCCATTATTTAAACGAAAAAGTTATTAAAGTTTACAGAAATATGTGGTATTTTTCATTAGATTGGAGAAGGGGTAAGAATTATATGTGATAGCATAATCCTTTATTGTGATTATATGCTTTTTTCTTCTTACAAGTCTTGACTATTACTTTGAGGCTTATAATTAAATGTGTAACTTTACAGCAATGGATGATTTCCAAGCTTTATTTTCTCTCACTACAGCATTTCTGTCACACGAAACTCTGACTTCACACAATACAGCAGCATGTATTCACATTGTTTTTGTGGTGACATGAGTAAAAAGTTAATTTCTTGGGTTTTTGCAGAATTAAACCTGAAATGGCTTCTGGTAATAAGTTTTTATGCTTAAAGTAACTTGATTTGATTGATATGCGTATATGTTTTCCTACACAATAAATTTACATGTGTACATAAAATAATATGCATAAAAAAATATGGGAATTACATTATTTTCAAAAGCGTTGGTCATGGCTGCGTTGCTATTAAAACATGCTTTTGAGCTAAATGAAATATGAAAGGGGGGCTTGTTCAGCATTGATTGATCGATTGAATGATTGATTGATTGTAGGTGAGTGATATGTTTGATGGGATGAATGGCTGGGCAGTAACCTCAGTGGACATCAATGGCTTCACGTACTTTATACAAAAGGATGAGGAGGGATGGTTAGTTTACAGGGCCTACCCCGCCAGTCAGAACTCCCTGACCCCAGCCGAGGATCAGGTGGTGTATTACTGGCAGGCACCACTCAAATACCTAGGCAACCGGGTACGGCAGCGTAATTATATTTCTATCACAGAGATTTTGACTGTTTATGTTAATTCAGTATGACTGGTATTCTTTATTATGCTGAGAATAAAGATAAAATTGTACCTTAAAATTGTATAACTTATCTTTTCTTCAAATTATTCCAGTTGACATCCTATGGAGGAAATCTGAAATACACAGTGAAGTATGAAACAGATCCTACTGCACCTTTCCAAAGACACATGTATGGAGTAGATGTCGTTATTCAGGTGAGGTTTTACTCTATTTCTCAACCAAAGTTTTTGAGTTTTCAAAGATATGAATGTATGTTAAGAATATGTAAAGAATATTCTTTCAAGCTATAAATATTGTTTTGCAATAAATTTTTTCGAAAATCGAAACCTTCGTTGACCATTTCTAGAGTGGGGATATGACAGTTGTGAACGGCAAGAGTTACCTGAGAGAAGATGTTCAGGAGACGAGGACTGTGACACTGAATGAGACCAGTTGGTTTCGATTGAATAAAAGTGACCGCTATGAGACTCTGCAGCCAATCACAAAGAAAGAATTCATGATTATCCTTTTCAACATAGAAAGACTTCTGATTCGAGCTACATATCACTCTGCACAGAATGCTGTATAGTAAGTATAAATTGCAAATACATGTACTTATAAATAGAGTGATAACATCTAAGATGTTTAAAACATACACTTGCGATATGTTGTTTTATTGAATAAATTGAATAAAAAAGGACTTAAGCATCAAGTGTTACACAAACATGAATAGATTTACATTTGTCAGCACTAGCAACAAGAACGTAAATATAAATAAGTACATGTACTAATTTAAATAAAAAATTTCACACAGTGCACATACAATATCCAAATCTCATACAAATTTTCTTTTGTGCCAAATAGTCTTCATTATATTTGATTTTTTACAGATTTCTTTGTTTTTTTTAGTTTACGAGACGTGACCCTTGACGCAGTGAGTGCCTTGTCCAATAAGACCCAGACCCTAAAGACCGTGGAGAAGTGTTCCTGTCCCCGGGGGTTCCAAGGTCTCTCCTGTGAAGTAAGCCAAACTCCATCAGAAATGTTGTTACATAATATCCCTTTGTTGTATGAACCAAATATTGAGAATAAAACTTCATGTATCAGGAAAAAAAAGATATTTAATTGGTTTATTAAGAAACCAACATTTTTGTGCACTCATTTATTAGACAGAAGTTCAAGTTTAAAATTCATTGCATGACACCAAAGAGTTCTTTCCCTTGTTTCAGGAATGTGAGTCGGGTTACAGGAGGGTAGGAAACAAGCTTTATGGAGGAATGTGTCTACCATGTAACTGTAACAACCATGCAGAGCGCTGTGACATCAGCACTGGAAAGTGTATTGTGAGTGGTTAGATTGTCTTGTCCATTTTTAGATTGTGTTGACTGGCTTTACCAAAGAATGTATGTTGTATATCAGCATGTTGGTGAAGAAATTACATTATGGTTTTGTTTCATGCTAAATAAAATGGTATAGTCTTTTGCAAGTACATATTTTGCAAAAACAAAAACAAATTTATGTTTGTAAATTTATTTTGCTTCTCCAGGGGTCCAAATTTGATAAATAAAATCTTGTAACTTGTGTCTTCTAGAATTGTCTGCATTTTACAATGGGAGAAAACTGTGATCAGTGTCTGCCTGGTTACTATGGCGACCCCCGCCGAGGAACAGAGGAGGACTGTAAACCATGTGCCTGCCCACTGAGAGAACCAACCAATCAGTTCTCTCCTACCTGTCAGCTGATCCCTCAGGTGGGAAACTACGACAATTACAGATGTGACAAGTGTGCTGTCGGCTACACTGGAGACAGATGTGAAAGGTCAGAGGTCAAAAATATACAGTCAAACTTGTTTTAAGAGGTCACCTTTGGGAAGTCTGGAAACTGGCCACTTAAGATAGGTGGCCTCTTATTCTAGTTTGCCATCGAAAAAGAAATTCAGTCAATAAATAAACAACATTAAGCACTATAGTTAAATAATTAATCAAGTAAAAAAATAGGTCAATTTCACAAAAGCTTTTTATGTGTATAATAATTTTTCATGCTCATTTAAAAATATGCTAAAGAATTAGAAATTTTTAAGATTTTGTGCAGGTTTCTGTTCCTACATATTCATTTGTTAAACATATTGCATTCATCAGTGTGCTTTTGTTACATTGAAATATAAAATAAACTCTTTTAATTATCATTTGAAGAAATACATACAGTGCCTGACTATTACCCTTTTTATAGAGAAAAAAAAATTACACAAACATACAGTTTAATGATAAATAAATTAAAGCATAAAAATTTAAGTAAGAATATGTCAATAAAACATATTTTCAAATAATGGTCAGCAGTGCCCCCCCCCTCCCCTTGCACTTAATTAATCGGCAATTAACTTACTTGCTGAAGTTTTTAAAGTCTGGTAAATTTTATTGTTTATAAAAATGTCAGAATTTCTATGTAACCTACACAGACACACAAATAAAATTAATCAGTTGACCAGGGAGGTGTATTTACGCAGTTGAAAACAACACAGGTGTCATATGCAATAGAGCGTAACTAATCCCTATCGATGTCTCTTCATAGTGAAATTCACGAGATAATCATGCCATATGAAGCACTTTGTTTTCACAAGAGTTGCAATTAGGGCTTCTACATGAAATCAAAATCTAAAAGGTGTGAATTTCTTTAGCTAGGGGAAAGTATCAATTGTGATTAAATTCTTTTAATCGTCGATCTTGAAAAATAACAACGAATTGGTCTAATAGGAGAAATATCTTTTTTTTTTCATAAACACAGAGTTCAGCGTATTTAAAAGCAGTTTGTTTAATTGCTTCAATAGATTAAATTGACTATCGAGCATATAATTACCCAAGCGTATGTGTTTAAAAGACATAAAAAAGTGACGAAATGGCTGCCTATTACAGTGTCAATAAGGCTGTTGGGGGAGGATTTGAGTGGCCGCTGGCCGCGTTACACAGGTGGCCGTTTATTCCAGTTAAAATATATAGGAAAAATTGTCGGGGGGAACTGAATGTGGCCGCTGACCGCGAGTGGCCGTTGATTTCGGGTGGCCGCTAAGACAAGTTTGACTGTACTTTCTTTTCCATTTGTATCCTGCATCATTCATTTCCATAATTAAATCTATTTATAACATCTATAAAATTAATGAACATAGATACTTATAAAACTTGTGAACAACTTTGATGTAGAACACTCAACTTCATTAATTTGATTGAGTGAGTAATTAACTGATATCAAACTCCTTGTAGATGTGTTCCTGGGTACTATGGGGACCCCACTGAAGTAGGTGGTGTCTGTCGGCGGTGTACCTGTGGGGGGAACATTGACACTAGTGATCCTACGAGCTGTGACAGAAAGACAGGGGAGTGTCTGAAGTGTCTGAACAACACTGAGGGACCCACCTGTCACAGGTGTAAGGAGGGCTACTACGGTACCGCTATAAATGGGGACTGTACAGGTAGGTCATCAGCTGATTTAGAGCATTACAGTAAAGTTATTAAACATTGAGATGATAGTGCTTACAGTGTATGTTCTCCAAATGATCAATTCCATCATGTTATCTTGGTGTTCTAAGGGCTCTTTCCTTTCCTTTTGTTTTTGCTCAATTGGAAAAGAAAGGATTGAAAACCTTTCGTCTTAATGATTAAAACTTAGTAATTTTTCCTTTGCAGTGTATAGAAATATTCTTTTTAATGATTCAGAATGGAAAAAAGGAGTAATACAGTACTTATTTGAACAAATAAATTGAAGACATACACTGTACTTAAAATTCTACTTAGGTGGAGACTAGGTCAAAGGCCATTGTCATATTAATTTACCCTGGTTTGCTTCCAGCATGTAATTGTGATCTGAATGGTTCAGTAAATGGTTCGTGTGAGCAGTATTCAGGGAGGTGTGTCTGTAAGGACAGGTTTTATGGGAGGCGCTGTGACCAGTGTCAGGTAATTAGCAGGTGTTACAGTACTGAACAACATTTGGCGTTGTATTTCAGTAATAATTCACAGCAAAATTCATGAATGTGAACTAATTCTGCACCATATGTTGTATTGAATGTTTGCAATAACAACAAAAGTTGTGGTATTTTATATTAACAAGCATTTAGCTCTTTTAAATTGAATCATGTAGTTACATTTAATGCACTCACCACTTGGGATAAATGTAGGTAGCACTTTGTTGTAGCCCGGTTATGGCAATGTTGAGGAGGGTTGTGTACCATGTGATTGTGACCCCCAGGGATCCCGGGGGTCAGTCTGTGACAGTTTTAGTGGACAGTGCTTCTGTAATGTAGGCATTACTGGTAGGAGGTGTGACAAATGTCAGCCTGGATTTTATGGATTTTCAGCAAGAGGCTGCAAGGGTAGGTAGGAGCTAACAGAAATGGGATTCAATCGTGACAGCTTTAAATCTGAGATATGTAGAATTGGCAAATTTGCTATGTTTCCCTTATAAGACATTGAAATATTTGAATGATTTGAGTGTCAGTTTAAAAAAGTGAAGACTACTGTTAAAAAACTATTTACTGTAAACTGCATTTTTTTCAAGTGGGTACAAATTTTGCCATAAGATTTTAGAAAGTTGGTAACGAGTCTGTAAATAAAATTATGCATTCCCAGACTGCCGCTGTAACGATCAAGGAACCAATCAGACCACCCTGTGTGATGATGTCACAGGGGTCTGTAACTGTCTCCCCAATGTCACGGGATCTCGCTGCAATATGTGTCAGGTGATCCAGGCTTTCTGGTTGTTCTCCTCTGTAGGGCTTCTGATCCTTGCTTTATTTTGCTCAGAATCTAAGAGGTTAAAACTGACTAGATTCTATGTATTTATTTAGAATGCATGTACTTACTATCAGCATGACCTGGATTTGATTTCTAAAAGAAAAAAAAGGGTATTCTTGGCTCACCATAGCCTACGATGTTCTTTCTTTGTAACGAAATTGTGCTTTTATTTAAGTAGCAAAGCTTTTTAGGCCAACACAATTTAAAATACAATAGTTCTGTCTATATTCTGTATATACAAGGTGATAGCTAATCAGTCTGTTGCTTCAACTCTCTACACAAGGTGCTAAGGTATCTCTGCAGTAAACTTGGGTATCATATTCTTGATGTAGTGTTTAGTCATTTCATCTTCTTTCATATAAATGATCTTGTCTTTCATTGCAAAGCTTTTATTTATTTTTTTTTTGTCTTTTGTATATATTTCTGCTATTTCTTAGCTATTAGATATTTCAGCACTTGTAGAATATCTGTAATAGAATTGTTTATTGATAGACAATTAGATTTGCCAAATAATCTAGATGAAGAAATGATCTTGGTTAAAACTGATTTCAGAAGAACAACATGTGAAAAGAAGACATTTCAAATATAATAATACTGTATATGTGGAAATTTTAGCTAGACGCAAATTTAGCGATTTGTCCTACAAAACTGGTACAGGGAAAACTGTTTAATCTGACACCTGATTAATCTGACACACAGAATTCCGATGTTAAATTTCTTTCCCATTTTAGTATTTTCCTTGTTTTTAAAACTGGAACATGTAGATTAGACAGGTTTCACTGTATTTTATTTTTCGCGAGATGTAATTTAAGTGATTTTAAAATGCTCACTTAAGAACCTTTTACAAATAAAACGTAATCGATTTTTAGTGATATTCAATTTTAGTGATCTCAGCATCCTTGCTAATAATGCCAAAATTAATTCCTTGCTAAAAATTCTGCTTAAAGGGTATTTCAAGATAATAAAACTGTATGCCCTCTGTTATGTAGGAGAATCACTGGGGTCTGGCTTCAGGTAGTGGCTGCTCCCCATGTGAGTGTGACAGGCTGGGGGCAGTGTACCAGCAGTGTGACCAGAGAACTGGTCAGTGTACATGTAGGACCGGTGTGGAGGGACAAAGGTGTGACAAGTGTCAACCAGGGTATTATGGATTCTCCATCAATGGCTGCAAAAGTAAGAAATTTTAAACTTTCTTATAGAAATGAATAGACAAGCACAAGGAGAAAATACAGCAATAGGTGTTAAATTTTTGAAACCCAAACAAACTGATAAGCTTCAAAAACTAGTAGAAAAAATTTGATTGTTGAAACAATGCAAAAACATTGTTCAGTTACCAAGTTGAAAATGTTTTACTTGTGGGTGCATATGTGGTATTTGAAAACACAAGTTTTAATTGTGAAAAAAAGTATTTGTGTAGTCAACAATTATGATTGAATTCTTTGTAAATTGTTGACAGGATGTCGGCCCTGTAATAAGCCAGGACATGTGTGTGATCCCATCACTGGTCATTGTGTGTGTCCACCCCTTACTACTGGACCACAGTGTGGGGAATGTCAACCCAATACCTGGGGCTATGACAGCACCACAGGGTGCAAGGTGATAACCTCTCATCAGTTTTTTTCTTTGGTAACAGAGTAAAATCAGTAAAGATGTAACTTCAAGAAAAAGAATGTTTTTCATACTTGATTACTATTTATGCCTCTTTACAGCCTTGTAACTGTGATCTTCGAACCTCAGAATCCAGACAGTGTGACAGGAATACAGGACAGTGTACCTGTAAGGCTGACTTCACAGGTGACAGGTGTGATAAGTGTCTGCCTGGATTCTACAACCATCCTAACTGTCAGCTCTGTCTGTGTAGTGCTGATGGTACAGAACCCAGCAGTTGTGACAACTCTACAGGGGTCTGTCAGTGTGACAGCAGAGGACAGTGTCAGTGTAAGGTAGGTCTGTCTGTCTGTATATGTAGAGCTGATGGTACAGAACCCAGCAGTTGTGACAACTCTACAGGTGTCTGTTGGTGGTGGTGTAAAGCAAGTCTGTCTGTCTGACTTTCTAGTGTGATGATATAGAATACTGTCAGAATAGAGTTTGACTGCATGTTTATTTACACAAAGAATTTTCCAGAGAATAATTTAAGTTCAGGTATGAGCCTCTGATATTGCATGAAAGCAGGAAGTGGTTTCAGTGCAAGGTGTTTATATCTGTCTGTCATTAGGGGACAGTAAAGATGTAGAAAGGGGACAGTGTCTGTCCATCAGTTGCATAACAGAAGACTGCATCATTGTTTTTTGTTTGCCTGATTGTCATCTGTGTATATAATTGATGTAGATTATGCTATGCTAGGCTTTGGTAATTTATTTACATGTATTTGCATTCAAACATGAGAGATGTGTTCAGGAGAAAGACAATGTATTCATATTTAGTTGTTTCACTGTATAAAACATCTAAAATGGGTAAAAATTGACAGCATATACCTAGTACTGCTCAGATAATCCCTCAAATCAATTAACTTTGAAGATTAAAATGTTCTAATTAAACATAGAAAATTTGATGATTCTTTAAAATACTTTATTGAAATATTTCTGTCTTCTTTTCAGGAAAATGTACAAACCCGTACATGTGGTAGTTGTATACCAGGATCCTTTAGTCTACACAGAGCGAATCCCTATGGCTGCACTGAGTGCTTCTGTTTTGAGCGGTCCAACAGGTGTGAGCAGGTGCCCTATATCTGGAAAAAGGTACTTAGTATATAAAAATCTGACTGACATTAAATGTTTAATTGCAATATGCACAGGTGTTAAATACTACATAAAGTCATTGAAAACTTTGCTGCAAAAAGATGAAGTCATTGTATATTGTAAAGGTCATAGAAAATAATACAATGTGATACTCTATCTGTAATTTTACTGTACTTTTGATTTTAGGTTGAGATTCCTGAGGACAGTGTGTCATTTGATCCTCGAGTCACAAACAAAGTCACTTTAAAATATAAATCCTATGTAGTTATCCCACATAACTCCACCTGGGCAGCTGTTCCAGAGTCCCTAGCAACCAAACCAGTTTACTGGAGCCTGCCAGACAGTTACCTAGGTGATTTGGTGAGTGAATTTAATATACATGTAAATGCAAAGAGCTTTATGACATGTTATTGAATGTTTTAAAGTGTCCGTATTCCAGAGGATTCCAGATTTGATTACTGTGATTTGGGAAGTAATTATACCCCCCGCAAACGAAGTTTGGGGGGGTATATAGGAATCACCTTGTCCGTCTGTCTGTCTGTCCGTCTGTCCATCTGTCTGTGCAAACGTGTCCGGTCCATATCTTTCTTACGGAGGGACATTAGAATCTACTACTCCACACAAAGATTGCCCATGACCTAAGGGTGTGTCATGACCTTGACCCAAGGTCATTTGGTGAAGTTCAAGGTCACTGGAAGAAAAAGTTCATAATTCGTGTCCGGTCCATATCTTTCTCATGGATAAACTTGGTAGGTTCTCATTTCATGCAAAGATTGCCCATGACCAAAGAGTGTGTCATGACCTTGACTGAAGGTCACTTGAGGAAGTTCAAGGTCACTGGAAGAAAAAGTTCATAATTCGTGTCCAGTCCATATCTTTCTTATGGATAAACTTAGTAGGTTCTCATTTCACGCAAAGATTGTCCATGAACTAAGGGTGTGTCATGACTATGACCCAAGGTCATTTGGGGAAGGTCAAGGTCACTGGAAGAAAATTTTCATAATTTTTGTCCCGTCCATATCTTTCTTATGGATAAATTTGGTAGGTTCTCAATTCACACAAAGATTGCCCTTAACCCAAGGGTGTGTCCTGACCTTGACCCAAGTTCATTTGGATAAGTTCAAGGTCACCTGAAGAAAAAGTTCATAATTCGTGTCCGGTCTACATCTTTTTTATGGATAAACTTGGTAGGTTCTCATTCTACACAAGGATTGCCCATGACCCAAAGGTGTGTCATGACTTTGACCCAAGGTCATTTGGGGAAGTTCAAGGTCACTGGAAGAAAAAGTTCATAATTCATGTCCGGTCCATATCTTTCTTATTGATAAACTTGGTAGGTTCTCATTTCACACAAAGATTGCCCATGACCCAAGGGTGTGTCATGACCTTGACCCAAGGTCACTTTGGGAAGTTCAAGGTCACTGGAAGAAAAATTTTATAATTCATGTGTGATACATATCTTTATTATGGAAAAACTTACTTCTGAAAAAACCCAGCGGGGGGTATTTTGTCCGATTTGGACAGTTCTAGTTTTCATTGCAGACATTGACCTATAATGGGGAGATGAGGTTTAGTGTACAGTTCAGATCAGATGATGGACCCCCAGCTCGAGTGGATGACAGTCCAGACATAGTGGTGGTGGGGAACAGGTTCCAGATGACTCACCACACCGCTACACCATGGTCACCGAGTGGACAGAGGTCCATCTCTGTCAGGTTACACCCTGTAAGTGGATTCTACCAATCATAGGCTGAGTACTCTACCAATATACATAGTACAATTAAACTTTGATATCTCCAACAGCAATACCTCGAATACCATAGATATGTGGGAGTGATTGGGAAGTCCCAACCACTTATTCTTTATGTACATTTATTTTACCCTGGATATTTTGAATCCTTTGATATCTGAAAGTTTTTTCTTGGTCCAATTTAGTTCCAGATAATGAGGTTTGACTGTACTTGAAACTTATTAACTGTGGTGATTTTTTGAGAAATGTAATGGTTGTCCCATAAGAGTATTATGAGTCAGTTAATATTCAGAGAGCTTCAACATGTTTAATAAATTTGTTTGTAGACTGAATGGAGAGTGGTTGGTTTTGGTAATGCCACCAGAAGTTTGATGATGATAGTACTGCAGAATGTCACAGATATTTATATAAAGGCCACTCTAGATGACCAAGCTAGATCTGCTAGGTAAGAAACTTCTCTTTGTGTATATTGTATAAACATAATGTATAGATGTAGCACCACACTCAAGAGCTCTTGGTCCTTAGTTGTATCCAAATACATCAGTTAATTCCACTGATCTATTTAAAATAAAACACAGTATTTAAAATATGTTCACGAGTAACCCTATTCAGTAGCAAAATTTGCTGTATCTCCCACACTAAATATTTCATTGTTTCATAGTAATTGCTGAAAAGTTTTGTTTTTCTGCCTTGTTCTATGTGCTTTGTTCCAGATTTTGGTTTCTTTTTCAGGTTGACCTCTGTGTCTTTGGACAGTGCCCAGCCAGGGAATGGTAGTACAGAGAACCCAGCCTTAGGAGTGGAAATCTGTCAGTGTCCAGAACAGTACTCCGGTCTGTCCTGTCAGGTACTGAACATTCTGTCGAAAATTATAACAGGATGCAGTTGTCAAAAAATACTGTATACATGGAAATTTTCGCCCCAGTTTTATTTCTGCCCCTCTTGCCCTCGTCGGAAGTTGAGCAAATTTAAAATGGGGTGAATTCAAAGTAAACAGTATTATATCTTAAACAAAAATCTTTCTGTGCAAATTTAAAACAAGGAAAACTTGTTTCCAAATATGAGAGGGCGAAAATAACCCTGCATACAGTATTTAAGAATCTTTTACCTTTGAACACATAATCAACATTTTCAGTTTAGCTGAATTTAATTGATCCAAGAATTTAACAGTAAAACTCCTATGTATTACAGGACCCAGCAGAGGGTTACTACAGGCTGAAGCACAACCTGACGGTAGATCTGTCTTATCCAATCCGTGTTATTGGAGAGGTGGCGCCCTGTAACTGCCACAGACACTCAGACATCTGTGACAGGGAAACAGGGGTCTGTAAGGTACAGTCAGTAGTGTACTAGGGCTAATTATGGTATAGGACAGGAAACGATTGTGTACTTTAAGGCTGAAGGATCTTTGAACTTGCCTTTGATTAAGGATTTGTGAATGAGGTTAAATGTATATAATTTAATTTTGTTTGTATTCTAGTCTCTCATTGGTTGATTTCCAAAAAGGAATGCAAATTATTTCTCAATAACCTGGTTTGGTATGGGGACACACACCCTTGACAACCAGCTGAATCATCTGTATCCATGCAATCCCCTCATTTCCAGTCCTTGGGATTCATGGAAAATTCCAGATTTAATAAATGTACTTTCACTTCAAACAACAGCTCAATCTTACCTCATATAAACAAACATCATGGCTGCTAGATCTGTGTTTCAGTTTTAACGTCCCGTTGTTTCATATCACTGCCATTACTAGGGATGTATTATTGAGCGGCAAATTTGAAGTCATAAAAAGCAGCACAATTTTACACGCACAGTTGTTTAGTTATTTTAAAATTAAATTGTAAAGAATGACATAACCTAATTCTTGGCCAAATTATTCGATTATAACCTGTGTTATAGGAGAGTTTACGCTTTTTTATAATCCGCTTCACGGATTATAAAGCATAAACTGACCCAAACCAGGTTATAATCGAATAATTTGGCCAAGAATTAGAGTCATTCCTTAAAGAACCTTCATATATATATTAATAAATATATAGATATAGAAATGAATATATGTAAGCATAAATCAAAATTTGAAAAGGGTGAATGATTATGTTTATTAAAGATAAATCCACCATTAGACATGGATTATGATGACTAAATATTACAAATTCTAGAATTGTCAGCATAATACAACAGGAAGTCAGTGTGAGAGATGCTTGCCAGGTTTCTATGGTGATGCCACCAGAGGTTCCCCTGTCGACTGTCAACCCTGCATCTGTCCCAGCATTGACAATAAGTAATAATGCTCCTCAATGACTAAATTAAAGAACTCTTGTTCTTATGTCATTTTAGGTGTGCAACTCCTTAAGTAAAAAATATAATGTCACTTCAAAAATTTTTTCAGCTTCAGCAGCACTTGTGAGATTCGTCGAGGCCTGCTTTTCTGCACAAATTGCACTGAAGGATATATTGGTACAAGATGTGAATCGTATGTATTTTCTGTTGTTGTAATTTTAAAACAAAAAAAATAAAATATTGATACTGTCCTTATTGTAAAAACCATGGTACACATATGTTTAGCTTGTACCAAATCTTTAGGTCACCATAGAATGGAAAACTTTCTATTGTATGATAAAGATGGTGATATTAGTTATTTCATTAAGGCCACATAAAAAATGTTTGTGTACCCTAATTAAAAAAAAGAATGGGTCAGTAGAAAGATGGGAAAAAAAATTCCCCAGAAATTTTCAAAATCTGTCAAAATTCAAAGAATAATTGATGGAAAGAAAAACTTAAATTGTTTCTTAAAACTGAAAAATAAAGATGCCTTGATTTTTTTTTTCAAGAAAGTAATTTTCTATATAATGAGGAATTTAGCTTCAGTTAATATAAAATTATATATTTTAATGGAAAACATTTTCCACAGCTTTGTATTAAGATAATGGGAGAGTTGAGTGTACAAATATTTAAAATTAAAGAATGAAAAGTACTTAAAGCACTTGTTAAAAATCTTAAATTGCCAAGTATTGCCACACTAGAAAAAATGTTTTAAAGGTTAAATACTTGATATAAATTTTATAAATAATCCATATTTACATGCAACTCCTTTGAGCAAATTTGCTCTTTATTTAAAAGACTTCAGATATGTTGATACTTTTAAAAAAATTTAAATAACTCTATTGTGTGTGAAATCAAATTAAGGGCAGCATAAAATATAATGATGGTTTAAATCAACATTTGTATAAGTGGATAATAATCCATTATATACATGTAATTATTCCCTATACTTGAGTGACAGGCTGGAGACAGTGTTGTCATAAGACCTTAATTATCCCACCCCAATTATCAACCCCCACACAATGCACATTTTTGTCCATTGAATTTTAATCTGTCATCTTGGGAAATCATTCACCTTTCTCCTTGTCATGAATATAAATTCATAGACATTGTCATTGGAAGGAGACATTGGGTCATTCATTCAGAAGGAATTTGTTTTAGAATATGTATTTGTTACTGTGCATTTTAATTCTGCTTAATTGTGCTGATGCAAGGAGTTTTATAGGGTAAAATAATCCTCTCTTTTAATTGGATGTTTTCCATAGGAAATTTGCAAAGAAGATTTTCATTTTTATTATTTTTTATAGCATGTTTATTTATTCAATGTAATTATATTGTTTTTCCTCTTCTCAAAAAGGAAACATCAATGGATAAAAAATTACTGGAAATTTACATTCTATTATGTTTGTTTAAACAATCCAAAAATAAAAAAAAAAAATGGATTGAGAGATGGAAATTTCTTGATTTATATACATTTGACTGTGTTTGCTTTTATATTGTTTTATTTTTTCAAAAATTAAATTACCGGTAAAAAAAAAAAAACAACTTTGATAAATAGTGTATAAATAATTTTACAATATATGTGTAACAATCAAGAAGTTATCCAAAAAGTTTCTAAAATTTATTACTTGATAAACATGTATATGAATCTTATTTTACTTTGTTTAATGATGAAAATATATTTAAAGGTGTGCAGAAGGTTACTATGGGGACCCGCGACAGCCAGGGGGTCATTGTCTGCCTTGTGATTGTAATCCAGAGGGCTCTGTGTCTACGTTATGTAACGCTCGCGGTCAATGTCAGTGTCTTCCTGGAATAACGGGAGAGAAGTGTGACGGATGTCAGCCCAGATATGCTGTAGAAAATGGAAAATGTGTTTGTGAGTGTTCAATGTCTCGAGATACATTAACATATGAATAAAAAGGCATGCATAAAATGTCTATATAGAATATTCTGCTTACATTTTTAATCCTCAAGAAAAGCAAATAACATTTCGAAAGTTAATGCAATATTTATTTTTTATTTATTTTTTGCTTTGTCATTGAATTATTCCCAGAAATTAACACAATATCTTTTTAATTCAAATTGGATAAAAAATGTCATTTCTTTGTTATGTGGGATTTTTCAGCATGTGATGAGGGCTGCACAGCTGACCTGATGAAAGAATTAGATGACCTTGAAAACATGACCAGTCAAGTGAACTTAACTGGAAAGCTCCCTGTCCCATGGACCCAGCTCTGGAAAATCAAGAATGAAACAGAATTACTCAAAGTATGTACAGTTCAAAAGTTGAAACTCTAGCTGAAAAGTTTAAGAAAAAAAAAAGTTATCAAGTGATTTTTTTTTATTTTCAAAAATTAAATAATACTTTGCTACCGAGGAAAAGACTAAAGAATTATGCATGTATAAATATGATAAGTGGAATGATGATAAGTCTTGTATAATAAAACAATACAGGCTGAGTTGGACACTATAAGGAATGCTGAACTGGATTATTTGAGGAATCAGACAAATGACCTTGTGAGGGATTCACAGGACTTACTCACCAGAGTGAGTGAAATGTGTTGTGTGTGTAGTGCTTATATAGTCTTGTGTAGTCCTTATATAGTCTTGTGTAGTCCTTATATAGTCTTGTGTTCTGTAATGTTGAAGTCTTGCATACCATGTGTCCAGTTGTGTATAGAATGCTTGCATAAATCTCTCTCTCTCTCTCTCTCTCTCTCTCTCTCTCTTTCTCTAGTCCAAGTGCATGTTGGTGTGTGTTTGTATATGTTTGTATTGCTAATTGGATAGCTTCTCATTTCACCTATATAAATACATAATATATACTGGGTAGTTATTTTCTTATCCATCAATCATCAATATGCTCAATACAGTTGAACCTCCTTTATATTTCAAAAAAGCAATATATCAAATACCAGGGCTATTTTGAAGTAGATTGGCAGTCCCAACCCTTTTTTAGCTCACCTGAGCCAAAGGCTCAAGTGAGCTTTTCTGATCAAAATTTGTCCGTTGTCTGTCGTCGTTGTCGTCGTAGTCGTCGTCGTTGTAAACTTTTCACATTTTCAATTCTTTCAAGTAACCACTGGAAACATTTCAACCAAACTTGGCACAAAGTATCTTTAACTGAAGGGGATTCAAGTTTGTTCAAATGAAGGGCCACACCCTTATTCCAGGGGAGATAATTAAGAAATAATGAAAATTTGATGGTATGTTTTAAAAATCTTCTTCTATAGAACCACTGTGCCAGATTGCAACTGTTTAGAAGCATCATCAGGTAGTGTAGATTCAATTTTATTCAAACCATGACCCCAAACTTTGGGCGGGGCCACAATGGTCAATCAAAGTTTTACATAGAAATATATAGGAAAATTCCTTAAAAATCTTCTTCTCAAGAACCATGGTGCCAGGAAAGATGAAACTTATGGTGCTCAGTGTGTATATAAAGTTTGCTCAAATCATGACCCTTCGACATTACGGGGTCACAATGGCCGTTCAAAGTTTTACATAGAAATATATAGGAAAATTCTTTAAAAATCTTCTTCTCAAAAACACACAACAAAATAATACTTATAGGGAAGCATCCTCAGGTAGTGTAGATTCAAGTTTGTTCAAATCATGACCCCTGGGGGTAGGGCGGAGCCAAAATGGCCGATCAAAGTTTTACATTGAAATATATAGGAAAATTCTTTAAAAATCTTCTTCTCAAGAATAGCAAAGGCATGAATGATCATATTTTTGTGGAAGCATCCTCAGGTAGTGCAGATTCAGATTTATTCAAATCATGACCCCTTGGGGGTAGGGCGAGACATCAATGGCTGATCAAAGTTTTACATTGAAATATATAGGAAAATTCTTTAAAAATCTTCTCAAGAATAGTAAAGGCATGAATGATCATATTTATATGTCAGCATCCTCAGGATATTCAATTTTTGTTCAAATCATGATCCCAAGGGGTAGGGCGGGGCCACAACATGGAATCCAAGTTTTACATAGAAACATGTAGAAAAAAATTTTTAAAATTCTTTTCAAGAATCTCTCTCTCTTAGTCCTGTTCATATGGAAGCATTCTTGGTGTGTGTGTAGATTCAATTTTGTTTGTCATGACCCCTTGGGGTATAGGGCGGGGCCACAATGTAAGTTCAAATGTGATAAAGCCACAGGTAATATATGCAAGCATCCTTAGTTAGTGAAGATTCAAGTTTGTTCAAATCATACCATCTCCCTTTTAAGGATGGTTGAGACTACTACTGGGTTTAAACTTTTCAACATTAAACTGATTTCTGCTTTTTTCCTATCCACATTGCTCAGGTGAGCGATGTGGCCCATGGGCCTCTTGTCTTTAAGTTTTTGCCCTTATTGTCACATATCTTTATATATCTCAAAGTTAAACCTTAATCCCTTGAAGTTTGAGATAACAAGATGTAACTGTATTTATAATATACAAATGAGTTGTGACTATAATTTTTCCTGGAGTATAATCAATAAATCTCTGTGTGGGTTGAATATTACCACCCAGCACATTTACTCTAGCTGTATCTTTATATATCTGCTTTGAGTCACTTTGCCTTTTATCTTTCAGATTATTATGATTAAATTATTTTTAATTATTGAATTTCTGGAAAAGTTTTTCTTAATGATTAGATAGTGATTAATATCTTACAGGTAAAAAAAAAAGATAAAAGTACACATACACATTTTTCTTTCTTTTTAATAAACTTGAAGATTTATACAGGTCAACATGGTGTACCCTTTTAAAGCTCAATGTTATATGTTTTAGTCCAGGAGAGCTAAGCTCAAAGCCGGCCCACTGGGGGATAAAGCAGCTACCCTGAAGAAGAATGCCACTGACCTGGAGGCCGATCTTAACGACACCGTCAGGGACATGAGGGGTAAGGATTGATAACAAACAACGATAAAACTTCTCTGAGGAATCAGAATTATAACTAGATACGATCTCGTTGCGAGCAACGAGAGGTCTTCTGTCCGATTCAGGAAAAAAAACCTCGTAAAATTAAGCTGAAAAGTGATTCAAAATTTTGGTCACAAGGAGGATTGAACTCAGGTAGACAACGTGAATGCACTTTTTTTTTCTCTTTTATCCCTAACGCGCAAACCATTATGCTATAATTGGGAGCAGTGCTCTAAATATACTTGTGTATACTTTTGCAACAGTACATTTGTCGAAGAATTATAAAAGGCGGACCACTATTCATAATTTCGCGCCAAACGCCACGAGTAAATATTCGCGCCTTTTCTTTGGACTGATCTATTAAATAGGTGTGATAGCTTCAATGAAATTAAATAAATAAAACGTTCTTATGGCCTTTATTTTATTTCGACGTTAAGAAAGTATATTTAACACATTGTACATATTACATATATCTTACCACGCCCAGTTACACTAAAGCAGAAAAAAGGAAAATAATTTTTAAGATTGACACTGAATTGCAACGTACTACTACGTGAGAGTCCAAGTAGTTTTTCACATTTCATGTATCCTATGTCAGAATGGTTCAATCAAACGCTTACTGCCACCATAAACCCCTACTCGCGAAATGGCGGAGTGAACTCGGGCCCGCTTATTTTCAAATATTAATATCTAGAGTTCAGATTAACCAATACTAAAACAACTTATATAGTAAGCATCAATGGAAAGGTCACTATTGATATTCCAAAAATAAATGAAAAATATTGAAGAACAAAAAAGTTAGAAAATGCACTTTTTTAAATTCGCATCTCCTAACGACAGGAAGTATTGACGACGAGCGAAAGGTCGCGTATAGTGAATATCACGATATATCCCTGAAAGTTTCATGTTGATATCTTCTACCGTTGTTGAGATTAATCGTGGACAAAATGTCATTTTAAATTCAGAAAATGTCCCGTAACTTGGCACCAGAAGAGAATTTTCAAAAAATCTCTCGGAAAAAATAACTTCCGATAACAACATATAATTTCTGTATATTTCATGAAAATCCACCCCCTGGAAATCGCGTGCACAAAATTTGGTGTACGGAAAAATAATAATAATAATAATAACTAGAACGATCTCGTTGCGAGCAACGAGAGGTCTTCCGTCCCATTCTGAAATAAAATGCAAAAAATCTAGCAGAAAAAGTGATAAAAAAATAATTACAATCCAACGCGTTAACCATTCGGACATTGAAAACACCGCTTCAAATTTTTAAATGCAAATATCTCGAGATGGGCTTTTTCGATTCTAAAACAAATTACATATAACGCATTCGCAAATGAGTCTATATTTAAATTATTAACATCACAAAAAAATATTGAATAACAAAAAAGTTGGAAAATTGCATTTTTTAAATACCCTTCCGGTACAAACCGGAAGTACTACGACGCACAAAAAGACGATTAAACCACAAAGTCATGATCTATCATCTCCAATTAGTCTCCAGTTCATATACTCAACTATTTTCGATAAAAAGGGGCGACAAAATTGCATTTTAAAATCAGGAAATTGGCCATAACTTGGAACTGGAATCGTATTTTCCAAATTTTCCTTCAAAAGTAACAACTTCATATTATAACACATATTCTGTGAAAGTTTCGGAAAACCGCTATAGTTCTCGATAAATCGCCTGCACAAAATTTTGGCAAAAAAAAGAATAATAATAAGAATAATAACTAGAACGATCTCGTTGCGAGCAACGAGAGGTCTTCCGTCCCATTCTGAAATAAAACGCAAAAAATCTAGCAGAAAAAGTGATAAAAAAAATATCGGACATTTGAAGTCGCTCGCGTGACAATCCAACGCGTTAACCATTCGGCCATTGAAAACACCGCTTCAAATTTTTAAATGCAAATATCTCGAGATGGGCTTTTTCGATTCTAAAACAAATTACATATAACGCATTCGCAAATGAGTCTCTATTTAAATTATTAACATCACAAAAAAATATTGAATAACAAAAAAGTTGGAAAATTGCATTTTTTAAATACCCTTCCGGTACAACCGGAAGTTCGACGCACAAAAATACGATTCGGCAAACCACAAAGTCATGATCTATCATCTCCAATTAGTCTCCAGTTCATATACTCAGCCATTTTTGATAAAAAGGGGCGACAAAATTGCATTTTAAAATCAGGAAATTGGCCATAACTTGGAACCGGAATCGTATTTTCCAAATTTTCCTTCAAAAGTAACAACTTCATATTATAACACATATTCTGTGAAAGTTTCGTTGAAAACCGCTGAATAGTTCTCGAGAAATCGCCTGCACAAAATTTTGGCAAAAAAAAGAATAATAATAAGAATAATAATAATAATAAGAAACAATAGAATCACTATAAGGTCTTCCGTGAAGACGGAAGACCTTAATAATAATAAGAAACAATAGAATCACTATAAGGTCTTCCGTGAAGACGGAAGACCTTAATAAGAAACAATAGAATCACTATAAGGTCTTCCGTGAAGACGGAAGACCTTAATTATATTTTAAATATATTAGTTTTATGATTTATAAATAGTCATATTTTCAAAATCTTCTACATGTATTTGTCTTTTAATTGATTGTCTATTTTGTTCTTTCACTATGTGAAGTTTAAATATTGTATTTTCAGACTTTGTGGATAAGCTAGTGGATATTGTTCAGGGCCTGTTTCATAACAAAAGTGGAATAAATGTCACTGATGCCTTGGAGAAAGTGAGAGCCATTTTAAGGGACATCAAAGACAGAAATTTTACCAGAAATCTGGAGAGGGCACTCAGAGAAAATAAGTAGGTGGAATATTTTATGTGATCAATTTGTGTTGCTTAATTATTTGTCTTTTGGACTTTGAAATGCTTGTAAACAGAAATTAAAATTACAAATATAAAAAGGGTTTTCTTGCTGTTTCGCTTTTGGTGAATTATGGTATTTTAGTTTCATTGATTGTAAAGTAGGAAAAAGAGGAGATTTCTGTTTGAAGAAAGAGCATTTCATATCAAGTACTGTATTATTTTGGAAGTACAGTAAAACTCGTTTAGTACAAACATGGATATAGCAAAGTAATATTGGATCCCCAGCTATATGAATTTAAAGAATTCCTTATACGGATATAGCAAAGTACAAATATAGCAAAGTAATTCATAGGTCCCAGTGACTTTGTTATAACCGAGGTATTTGTTCATATTAAGTTTGTAACATCAATCTTTGTCACAACACACTTTTTCAGACTGGCTGAGAAATTGTCAGAAAAAGTGCTGGAAATGAAGAACAAACTTGTGAACACATCGGGAGTGATGGAGGAAATTCAGGCTATTGTAGATAAACTTCAAGACCTTCAGAGACATTCTAATGAATCTCACAGGCAGTCAGACGAAGTGTTTGGAATGATAAATAACATTCTCACAACAAAAAATAAAACAGAGGTAAAATTTTAAAAAAGAATCTAAAAGTATATTGGAAAAGAAGAGAGGAAAAGAAAATTTAGAGTATGTGTGTCCTACATAATTATGTATCTTTTTCAGGATATGTTGGTTGATGTGGACCTGGTACATGATGATACTGTTAAAATTTTGGGGGATGGGCATCAACTCAACATTGAGTCAGCAAGTGAACTGGAAAAAGCCAAGGAAAACATCAAAGTAAAAAAAAAAATTTCCATTGCATCTAAAAATTTCTCCAGGAATTGTATATTTTGATCAACATTCAATTTGTTGAGAATTCCTCTGTCAAATTAGTTTAATTAAATGAATATTCAATCCACTTAACAATCATTAAAAATGATTTTTGATATGCTCCAGGATGTAGAAAGAAAAGCAAGCATCTTTGACCAAATTTTGCCAGAACTTAGATCAAAAGTCAATAATAGCAGAAGTCAGATACCTGGAACAGAGGCCAAAGTCAGGGCAGCAGAGAGTCATGCAAGGGACCTGTCTAATTATGCTGAACAGCTGGAAAGGTACAAAAACAATTTTGACTGGGACTAATTCTTAAATAGTTCATTGCAGTGTGTAGAATATACATGTATTGTACCATTTTTTTCAAGAGCAAAGATCATGCCATTAAATCTAAAATGCATATTGGTATTGCGAATTTTATCTGTGTATTAATTTATCGTTAGGGAGTTTGAGAAGACCAAAGCAGATGCGGCTGACCCTCTGAAGGCTGCTCAGGTGTATGGTAACATTGTGAAGGCTGTCAACGAGGCAGAAGAAGCAGCCAAACGAGCCATCAAAGCAGCAGAGGAATCCATCAAAATTGTAGGTTATGGTTCAGTATTATAAATTTGAAGTATTCCAATGAAAAATTAATGTTATGCTAACATTTTACAACCTGTGATTTTATTCATTCAAACAGTCTATGCATTTCAGGAGCTCAGTTTATGATCAGTAGAAAAATGTGCTAATTTTTGCATGATTTAAAGTATAGCACTCTGTGGGTGCTTTATTTCTAATTAACACATTTTATGGAAGTTGCATGTGCAATTTTTTGATCAAAGCAATCCATGTTTTCAGTTCCATCTACATGTCATGGAATCTTGTCTTTCATACATGGGTTTAAAACCTTGCTTGGATGAATTTTATATACATGTATAAAATGGAAGAGTTTTGTCTACTTTCTGATATAACATTTTCTTTACACAGGCTGGAGTGAAGAACATTACAGATGAGGTGTCTCGCTCACTTAACAGGAGCAGAGAACTGCTAAGACAAGCCAATAAAACACTTAGTAAAGTTCCAGGTATGTTAAACTTGTCATGGTCATCTTATAGACAGATGAAGATATAGTTCAACTATGCATTCTCAACCCCTGATTTCCTTTTTTGAGAAAGGTAGTGGAGTGGATTGCAATCTTAAGACAATATTATTTTGATTAACATTGTGACTGTCCTTTTTAGGTTTGGATAAACATTTGAGTGTTCTAAATGAGGATTTGCTTCGTGTTGAAGAAGAACAAAGCAAGATCAGACAAGGCCAGTCTGACGTAAAGGAGGCTCTGAGACAACTACCTAAAGGTTAGAACTTAAAACCAGCAGCACAATTCAAATTTTGATCTGTCATCAATAATATTTGATTTTTTTTCTCATGATTTTGATTTTATTTTCATTCTTTCTTTTCTTCAATTTAAGTAATGTGGGCAATAGAATTTTTAGTCATTTTCACTTTTACTTTCCTGACAGACCTCAGTGACAAAGCTTTGAAGATTTCCAAAGACACTGACAAGACAGCTGATGATCTAGAATCTCTGGAAGAAACAGTAGGAAATATTAACAGCAACATAAAGAAAGATCTTATTCCAAAGCTAAACCAAATCCGGGATGTAAAGTTTGATGGCATATTTGAAAACATAGAGAATTCAAGTGAGTTCCAACATTTAAAGGATTTTATCTGATCATTTTTCATTTGAAAAAAACATTATAATGACACAGATTAAGATGCTGACGAATCTGTTTGTTTCTTGTAGTTGATACAGCAAAAGCAAATATAAAACAAATAAGTGCTATTGTTGATGGGGTTGAGTCAGCAGCCAACAGAACCATGACTGCCGAGTCCAGGCTCAACGACAAACTCAAGATGCTGAGAGACAACATCAAGCAAGCTCGTGCTCAGGCTGAGAAGGTATGTACAGTCAAAACTCACAAAACAGCAACTGTGGAATAATCCTCATTATGAATGGTCAGACTGCAAAGTTAACATCTTTTGTGAGAAAAGGCTAAAAACAATGCTGGTAGTTGTTATTAAATTTACAATGTTTTGGGCCTCATCAGGTGATTATATTTATTTACAGGTGAAGGTGTCACTGTCGGCCAATGGACAGTGTGTTAGATCCTACGTCTCCAAGTCTACTGCCGGTGTCACCAATAAAATCACCTTTTCCTTCAAGACAAACAATGCGACTAACAACCAAATCTTTGTATTGCTGCAAAAGTCTCCCACGGTTTGTGTCAAATTGATAAATTTATATTCAAAATTTATTGAAGGAATAACTGTCTAATTTTTTAATTTTATGATGTGATCAATTGAGTGGCCTGCATGATAATTTGCATAAACGCCAAAGGTGTTTATTTGTAAAATTATCTCGCAAGCCAATGGATTGATCATCGTCATGAAATAAAGAAAACCTGACAATTATTCCTTAATATTTACATGCTCTTGATTCCGCCAATCCACTTGATACAAGGCCAGCTTCTTGTCTCAATTTGTTCCACCATGCACATGATTTTTTTCATTGCGCCTATAGATGATCCAGTACATTTATGTAGAAATAAAGTACATTAACTACTTGTAATTTTTTCTTGGACAAAGACATTGGAAATGCAAATATTTGATAATATTGCAGGTTTAACAAATTGGTGCTTTGTAATCTCTGGACATTTGTGAATGAATATCAGATTTGTTTTATTCTTATGTTGGCTTAACTTTTCAACTAAAATTGAATGATGAAAGGCTACCATTTTAGACTACAGCTGTTTGAATAGAATGATATTGCATATTTGAATATCATATATGTCCATTTGGTGTAACTACCTCTTTGTAGGAGTTCCTTGCAGTAGAGATGATCAGTGCAAAGGTTAGATTTTTATGGAATGTTGGAGCAGGCGTGGGTAGTGTCACAAGTGATCTTCCCATTCAGAATGAGGCCAATTTTATCAATACTGTTGACAAGTGGTACCATGTCAAAGCTGAAAGGTAGGGAAAATTTAGACATCAAGTGCAAAATATCTAGTGCTGATATATGTATATTGTAGATTCAATTATGTTTCATTGGGGGTTCAATTTTTTGTGAATATTTTTTTTACATAAAATACACAAAAATTGAAATTTTGCAATATAGGGAATATGTTTTATGACAAGGTGTCAAACCATTTTATTATGTTCTTATTCTATTAGATTTTAGTAGTCCATAAGAATTGGATTCCATGTTTTAAAATTATTCCAAAGTATATTATGGCTGTTGATAACGCAATAATTCATCATTACCAATAACCATGTTTCAGGCGTGGTATCATAGGGACATTGGAGGTCAGTAAACTATCCAATGGGAAGACTGTTGAGACATTCAAGGGAACATCTCCTGTTGGCCGCTCTTTTCTGAAGCTGGATGAAAACTCAGAGCTCTATGTGGCTGGTTTGCCATTTGGGGTGAATGTATGTATATTTATCATTCCTTTCTAATTAATAAACATAAAAAATTTGCAGGGCTGTATTGTTTTAAAATCTACCCCCTCCCCTCCCCCCTTTTACATTGTGCTCACAGAGAAAAATTGCCACTATTTCAGAGGTCATCAGAATTGAGAAGCATAGCAAATTTCTCTGGGTGTATGAATGAAATGTACATTGATGACCAGAAAATAGGACTTCATAACTTCAAGACAACCAGTCAGCAAGGTTGCTGGGGCTGCAGGAATGTGTCAGTAATTTTACAGTTTTGACTGATGATAAATTCTTCTGTCACTTAAACATTACTTTAGCTCTAACACTATAAGTTTATGTATTGTTTTGTTCAAATAGTGTTTCTTTTCACCAGGCCCACGGTTACTGTGGTAGGGGCTAACACTTTTCACTTCAATGGTTTGGGTTATTCAGCCAAACCTCAGATAAGGAACTACAGAAGTACAGAGTTTTATGTCAAAATGGAGTTCAAAACTTTCTGGAGGGATGCCATTTTACTGTTCACTGGAAATAACAAAACTGTAAGTACAAGCATTTCATAGACTGGATAGTTAGATCTGTCATGAAGAATGGGTGAACTGGATAATTAATCAACCTATGTAAGATTTGTTAGATGACTCTAATTTCTCATGGGTATATTTTGGGGTCAAGGGGTCAGAAGACTTGGTTGCTTTGGGTTTGGGATGTTCACATTTTCAACATGGGCTGGTTTCACAAAATTTCATTTGCAGTTGTGTTTAGAAACAGTAAGACTTGATAAATTGGAACAGGATGACAGTGATCTTATGCTTTTAACAAAGGATTTTTTTTCAGTTCTACCCAAGTCTGCTTACCGTAAATAAAAATAATAATCGGTAAATTAAAGATATACCTGATAATGTATTATATTTCAGCAAATTATAAATTTGTGCTATATAATGTGAAATATTTACATGTAATCTCTCAGTGTAATTGATGTTTTTGTTTCAGAATTTTCTGTTTTCATGATGTATTGTTTTCTTGACTGTGTTTCCAGGGAGATTTTCTATATGTTGGTTTACAAGATCAGAAGGTGGTTCTGCAGATCTATACTGGTGGCGAGAGTTTTCTGTCAATTTCCAGCAATTTCTCGTATAACGATAACAAATGGCATAACATCGTAGCCCAGCGACAACTGCTGACGGGTACTGCATCACAGGCAGAAATTAATGAGCTGCCACTAACCTACCCATCACAGACTAATGCATTGTTAATTCAGTTCGTTTAGTAACACACCATTAATTTATACTTACAGGGTGATTTTTTATCACTTACGCTTGAAAATAAGCGAGTGGTTTTGAAGTTTTACCTTGGCGGTGTTAGTTTTGCACGTTTGGAATCCAATAAAACTTACGCTAACAATACATGGGTTCGAATACAGGCCGAGAGAAGTGGGTTACAGGGTACTAACTGTTACAAATTAAATTATCACTGGGCAATCAAACAAGATATTAGTTGGTTCAATCATTTTAAAACTGGAGCATTTAGGGAATCAGTCTTTCACTTCACATTCAAGCTTGAAAGAATATTGAAGGTCATAGGCAACCAACCAAATATAGTTTTCATTTTTCACTAGATATTGATATTGTCAGGTATTTTGTTTCAAAAGACAAAGAATTGATAATCAGAAATTGATGTTGATAGTTGGGGAAAAACACTAATAAAGTTGGAATTAATTATTTTGGTCTGTGAAAATGTGTAGAGTGCTTGAATTGATTAGACATTGAGCAATATAATGTAGATTTTAATTTATTTTTAATCTATGGGCTGATTGACTGCACATAAATTCTACAAAATCGGAACTGTTTAGTATGCATTATTTAGAGATTTCTTAAGCCTGCTTAATTCATGCTTAGCACACTTCTTATTACCAGCACATCTAAGAGCATTACTGTGTTAACCATGAACAAGTTTCTTGCACACTAGGCAGATGACTAAACGTGTTTTCTGTGCATCAAACCATCATTGCAAGCCTGAAGTTTTTACCTACTTTTTAGAGTAGATTATGGCCTCTGACTTATTACAACCTTGAGAAACTTTTTTTTTTCGGCCCCTCCCCCCCCCCCCCCCCCCCCAAAAAAAAATCTTATGTTGCCATTGCCCTTAAAAGTGAAGTGGAAAGTAAAGTTGGATGAACGTACGTGTCTTGAATCAACAAGAAGTTAAATTTATAGCTCCATTTTTGATCATGTATTGTTAAGGACCAACTAATGCACTGTTTGAGCCACATGTAAACTTTGACACTTATTTGGAATAATATATGTAACAAACTGCTTTTTCAATTGCTATATTAAACCCTCGCTTAGTTTTGCAAGAACTTAATTATTAATTACTAACAACTTTTAACTGTAGCTATTCCCTGTCCCTGTAGAATTAATTTGTGTCATTCAGTACATGTAACACAGTGGGTAAATCAGAACATAGCTTATTTAGATTTGTAGATATGAGTGAAAAATTATATATGTACAAACTTCACATTACTTGCATGCTCTTAACAAACCTTGTGTGTGAAACATAAGCAATTATCAACACTTGTATTTATGCTATACTGATGTGGTTGTGTGTGTGAAATTAAAATCTCTTTACCATACTAACACTTCAATGTAATTGAAATATATACACTTGTAATATATACATGGACAAATTAAAAAAGACTCATGATTTAATTGCTCTTTAAGAAATATTCAAGTAAATGAAGGTATTTAAACTGAGAATGAAATACATGTATTTGCAAAGCATCATTATAAAACAACAAAATTGGAGAACTCTCTGTACAATTGTACTTATTGAATACTTTTTTGTATCTTAGCTTCCCTTCAGATTGACAATTCAGACATGCAGCTCTTGAGAGCCCCAGGGAGTAACACAGGGTTAGAATTGAAAGGGAAGAGACTTTATTTTGGGGGAATTCCAGAAAGTTATGATCTCCAACCTTTTTTGAAATGGTAATTATTCACAATATACATGCATGATGCAATCTGGAATTATCTGTTATAATGAACTATCACCTACAAAAAGTGCCAAATATTTAGGATAGATTTTTTTTTCTAATTAGCTGTGTTGTTTCTATCCTGGACTAAGAAAATATGTAGCAAGTAGCAAGAGCATTTTGACATAATCTTTTTGAGTCATTCATGTACAAATAAGGAATATCTACAAAAAGGTGCCAAATATTTAACTTTTGGTTAACCCAGTCATTTTTTGCAATAACTTTCTCAAATTTTATTCAGCTGTGTTGTTTCCCAAGTATGATTTTGAAAAAAAAAATTCAAATTTTTCTGGGACTAAGAAATTTATGGTGAAGACATATTCCAGCAACTATAAGTTATAGGGATATGATAATTAGTCAGTGGATACATCATTAACCACAAACGTCTTTTAGGTCATCTTGACAAATTTTTCTGCATGAGTGACTTTGGTTAAATTTTTGGTGGAGGTTTATATCTCAGCATCTATAACTTATAATGGCATGATGATTTGTCATTGTACAGGTTAAGTAACCAACAACATCAGTACCAGAATTAGGTATTTTGAACATTTTTCTGCATGAATGACTTTGGTTAAATTGATAATGGAGGTTTTTTTCAGCAACTATAACTTAATTTTTTGGAAATTCTTATTTCTCTTCTTATAATTTGCAAAATTTATGGGGAGGTCATGAATTGTTTAATTTGTCAGTGGATACATCATGGGTAACCACAAACGAAATATCATCTTGACCTACATTTTTCCGAGTGACTTTGCATAAATTTATGGTGGAGGTCCATATCTCAGCAACTATAACTTATAGTGGCATGATAATTTGTCAGTCTACACATCATGGGTAACCAACAATATCAGTACCATAATTAGGTAATCTTCACCTACATTTTCTGCATGAATGACTTGATACATATACAGTGGATTTGATTTCAAAATGCATTCAAATTATTGCGACTCATAACACGTTGGCATAATAAAAACATCACAATAATTTGTGAAATATATGTATATATATATAAATGCCAATATAATCTTTATTTTTGAGTCAATCTATGTTTAAGAAATTTTTTGGAAATTTTTATTTCTTTCTTATAATTAAAAAGGGCATGAATTGTTTAATTACAGGGGAAATCATTGCTAACCAGGATCTCCTGACGGGAGAAACTGTGGGGGTCACCAATGGATGTCCAGACGAGGTTTGTTTACATTCAGACTTGGCATTTGGAAATTAGTGACCCTTTATCAATCTATGTTAATAATGTATCTTATGATTTAAAAGTTTTGTGAAATTCATCTTGTAATTCTTGTTTTTCAGGGTTACAAAACGATTGCATTTTATGGAGATGGATTTGCCAAGTATAAGGCTGCTAGCTTGTCAAACAAAACTGCTGATCTTTCTCTGTCCTTTAAAACAAAGGAAAAGAATGCTCTTCTCTTGCTAGCCTATGATAATGATCAAAGGGTATGTATTCAACAGCAATTATTGATTAAACTTTCAAATTTGTTCTAGTTTTTCTCTACATTTTGCAGTTATGTGGACATTTATATACCAGTGTGTTTAAAAGGGAATCATTTATTTTTAATTACTTTAAAAAATATTTTATTTTTCAGAACTTTTACTCTATAGTGCTGTCTAATGGTAAAGTTGAAGGAAGTTTTAGTACCAATAGTCTTCCAAAAAAAATTAAAACATCAAAAACTTTTAACGATGGAAATTTGCACAATGTAGCCATACAGAAAGATGGAAATAGGTAAATTTCTTTTACTTGTCATCTATAATGCCTTGTTGTTCACCATCAATTCACAAAAATCTTGGGAATATTATCTTATCTTTTTAACATGTTCATCACTTTTGCATTCTTATTGGCATTATATGTAAGTTACTAAACTTTATTCATCACAGGATTACCATGTACATAGATGATGAGGCCCAGACAGATGAAGTTGTACTAATTAAGGATGAAATCAATGTAGATCATCTGTATGTAGGAGGAGTCATCAACTTCATCTTTCCTCAGGGACAGGCTATGGTAGCCACCACTCAGGGGCTGGAGGGATGTGTCAGTGACATTATCATTAATGAAGAGTATGTCCATTCAATTTTGCGTAATTACCAAAATTACTGAATATATAAATATAAGGATACCCCGTTTGTTTGCCAAATGGTAATTTCTGAGGGAAAAATTTCATCATTCCTATTTTTGTCTCTCTTTTAACAGAATTTTGAACTTGAATACACCACTACAGTTTGAGAGAGCTGATATAGGGAGGTGTAGATTGTCAACCAATCAAAATCCACAAGACATTCTGGATCCACAAACCACAAAACCACCACCCACCACCACCACTAAGGTGGCTACCACAACCACCAAAGCTGTCACCACAACCATTTCTCCAAATTCATGTGCAAAGACTCCAGATTTACAGCAAAATCTTCTGTCTTTGATTTTTGGGAATTCGGAGAACAGCCATGGGAAAGTGATACTTGATCCAGCAGAGGTTCAGGAATCGTAAGTCATGTCTTATGTTAGAGGCCCACATAATATAAAACTTCTGAAATGTAAATAAAAATGTTTTCAGGGGAGGCAATGGGGAAAAAAATTACATTTTACGTGTTGAGCGTGAGAGAAATTTTACAGTACATTTTCAGGTCTGACTGAATGACTAGATCTAAAGTATTGCATTGTTGACTTCACAATGTTTTCTTTTTCACATTAAACATATGACTAATGTACATGTCTTTATTTTAAGATTTCAGATCTCCTTTGACTTTCGTACATTTTATGATGAAGGAGCAGTATTTCTGTTAACCAATCAAAACTACACGGAGTATGTGGCAGCACAAATAAAGGGTGGATCTGTTGTCGTCTTCTGGACAAATAACGGAGGAAAGGCAAAGAAATTTGTCTCCTCTAAAGTAGTGACTGATGGGAAGTGGCACACAGCAGTCATTTCTAAAGACCGGCGCCGCATCAGTCTGAAGGTTGACGACAAGCTGGAAATGGACAGACGGAAGATCACCAAGAAATTATCCATAAACGCACCTCTCATTGTGGGAACCATTGTGGATTATGATTCTGTCAATAATAAAGACTTAGTAAGTAACCAGTATTGTATAGGCTGAATTTATGAAAAAAGTATATCAGTCTATAGTAACAGACAAAACATAGAAATTAGATATTCATTTTTTAAACATTGTTTCAGGTAAAACACAGTTTGAGGGGCTGTTTAAGGAACTTTATTGTGAACACTCGGAGTATAATGATAGCTGATGCCACACACGTACAGGGTGTCACTACTTGTTACATCAATATGGAGCCTGGAGTGTTCCTGGAGGAAAACTCGTATGGAATCATAGGTATGGTCTAATCTGAAATCAAAAGCATTTCAAGTTTTATCAATCATCTTAAATACATAATTTTTAACAAGCAAAATAGTGGGAAAATGTAAATAAAAAAATTAATATCTTTTCAATGACTCTCACATTTTTAACAATTATGTTTTTTTTCAATAGCCAATAAGTATGCAGTTGGTCGAGAAATGAAGATAGAGTTAGAATTTCGTACTCACAAACCCAATGGTATTATTCTGTCTATCACTGACAACCATGCAGTCACGCTGGAGCTGCATCAAGGAAAGGTAGCTGTTAGATTCATACACGCATAAATGAAATTATTTACTCTACATTTGATTTCTCATTGTATTCGACATTGGTACGAAGTAAATACATCTATGACTTTTAAGTGGAATTCAAAAGCTTGTATTTAAATTTAAGAATCCTTTCATTCATGTTGATAGCTATTTATAACATCAGAAAAGAACATTCAACAAAGATAAATATGTAAATCTACATAAGAAATGACTTTGTTTCAGGTGAAGTTCTCTGTGTTTAATGTGGCCCTGTTCACAGCTGAGTCTGCGGATTCCGTCAATATTTGTAATGACCAGTGGCACTCTCTGGAGGCGACCCTGATTGGAAATGTGGTGAAGCTGGTTCTGGACGGTGGTGACCCGCAGTACGGCAGCAGCCAGGATACATTCAGGAATGTCACCACCTCCTCTGCTTTATACGTGGGAGGGGTACCAGGTAAGCTTACCTGAGTTTTACATGTTACATGTTACAAGTCAAGTTTAAATCTTACTCATAATTATTTAAACAACTTTTATCACAATTTGAGATTTAGTTCATACATCCTCAATGATATTTTTTTTCTACTGTGTAATAATTTTTTGTTTCAGATTATGCAGTGCCACAGATTGCCTCTTTCAACCAGAAAGATGGAGCCCCTGAGGGTTTCGAGGGTTGTCTCCGTAATTTCAAAATAGACTCCACTCCTGTAGACTGGTTCTCTTTAGTAGAACAGGAAAATATCCAGCGAACCGGATGTCCTTATTAAACTTTTTAAAATAAGCTTACATTATTATTTAATTTTAACTTTTACCTCAGTCTGTTATACCCTCTGTATATGTAGGTGTCTATGATAGTGCTAAATACCTACTTAGAATTTATATATATTAATGATTGGATAAATTAAGGTGTAATTTTATCTGTTTATAAATCAAGATATGACAATCGCATGAAATGTATATATCCTGAAATGTTAAGTTTTTGCAATGGATATTTAAATGAAATGCTGATTTGCATCACTTCAGTTTAAGAGGCAAAATAAATAGCCATATATATATTTTTTTATGTATTACATACCATTTTAAATATCATTAAGAGCATATGTCAAGCTTTATGAGATCTTATATTTGCTGGATCTGAAATGCAATGTATTTTAATGGTGCTAATTTTGTACAACATTTGTGATTCTGCATATAATTTATAGGTGTGTCTAATTGTTGTGATTTGATTTATTGTGATCTCTAAATGTTAGTATGATATGAGTGTGTTATAAGCGTCATGTCCATTTTCGTATACATGTGTATACCGGTAATTACCTGTTTAATGGAGTGTTTCAGTCTCTTCATGAATTTGTTTGATTATGCATGAATTATGATATACTCCAAATGTCAGTTTTATCCCTGTGTTGATTTTTGACTCACACAACATGTTCCAAGTGAATGAATTTTATCTTTATTGTAAATTAATTTAATTTATACAGTAAAAATATTCTTTTGTTTTTTAAAAGAATTACAGGTTGATATTGAGCGGTGTTGTGCTCTTTGTATACAATAAATGCTTTAATAAATGAATCCACATATATATACTACATGCTGAATTGTTTCTTATTATTTATGCACATTGCAATTTGAAAAATCCCACTAAAGAGAAGGAAAAAAAGATTGTGTTCATATAAAAGTCACATGATTGTTAAATGGAGAGTATCAAAAAATAAAACATGTGATGGACAGCATGTTGCAGAATATTTTTTGAGCATTGTTCCCCCTTTGCAAAGATGGCCAGATTCTTAGCAGAACATTTTAAGATAAAAACAAGGTGTGTTATAGTCTAAGTTTGTTTTTTAAAAGTCAAACTCCAAGGTCAAGATCAAAGGGTCAAAGTTCTTGGTATCCAAGGATTACATATGTGAAATATGAAAGCCCTAGCCCTTACCGTTCAAAAGTTAAGGCCAAGGTTAAAGTTTTTGTATCCAATGAAAGGTCTTGCAACAAAGAATGTGAAATATGAAAATCCTATATCTACCATTCAAAAGTTATGGCCAGAGTAAAAGAAAATAGGTCAAAAGGTCCAATTTGGTGATCCCAAAGAAAGGTCTTGTCACAAGGAATATTACACGTGAAATATGAAAATCATATATGCTTCACTAAATCAAAAGTTGTGAGCATTTTAGGTTCAAGATTTTGCGGACAAACAGACAGAGAGACAGACAGACAAACGGACACAACAAAAACTATATACCCCTTAATCTTCGATTATGGGGGCATAGAAATGTGGCAAAATTTGCAGGAAAATTGTTACTTCTATGAACTCTAGTTGGGAAAACTAATGGTATACCTGGTATTGTAATAGTTACAAGAAGCTTGCATGATAACACCAGTAATCTAAATGATTAAAATATTTTGGACTATTTCCATTGCTTTATATATGGTTAATTTTTCCAAAATGACTTGTATCTAAATGCTTATCTTTTCTCTGATGCATTTTTATTAATTTCACATTAAATCACCCCCCTTTTTTTCTTTTTAAAAGGGTACTTCTTTATACATATAAATGAGATCTCTGATAGCTTACACGTTTCTTTAAAAAAAAATGATTCTGAATTCAAAATTTTATCATACAAAAAAGAAAGAACGAGGGCGCTTTTGATTGGCATTCGGCAGGAATCTGGGCGTACTTGAAAAGTGAAAATTTTATCGACGTGTCTCATGAAATTTTAACATTTTTTTCATTTATCGGATTCTTGCGAATTGGGAAAGGAAAATAATTTCCCGATAGCGAGTTTTGATTTGCTTGAAAATGACTTCAAAATTGGCTAGATCAAACATTTGGTACAAAATGGTGCATTTTCAAACACGTTTTTCTGAAAAATTTCTATCTCTGGGTCTTCTCTCCATAATTTTGAAACGTTATTTGTGTGCATTTTAATTCAAAGAAAGGAACATGCATTTGTAAAAAATGGAGAGAAGACCCAGAGACCATAAAAAATGAACTTTTCCCCAAAAATTCAATCGTATAAATATGGTGCTTCTTTGTCCTTTTATAATACGCTAAATATGCGTAGCGGTGATAGCTCAGTAGTGTGGACTACCTGTCCAGTGCACCAGAAATGAAAAGTTTTTGGTTCGAGCCTCGCATGGGGCGTTAATTTTTTTTAACACAAAATATCAGTTCTTTTGTCGGTCTCTTTTTATGTACTGATTTATCAAAATTTTGAATTAGATTAATTTTGGTTCAGTTACATCGAGAGCGAAATCAAATTCCAATCTTGCATTCTTCTTAATCTTTGATGTGCATGTACACTTATCATATGCTTTTTACTTATAGGATTATTTTTTTTGTGAAGCATTACTTTGTTATTGTATTTCCTAAGAAAAACGGACATAAATATTACAATCTGGCAAGGTATTTCAAACTAAATGAAAGAAATATCATGTGGCTGTGTTTGTAAAATCTGACCAGCTATGGTCAGCCAACCAAGTCATGGACATTTAAACCATAAATGTTTCGTACAAATGATTCCTGCAGATCACCCGCCAAATGCGCCCATCTTCCTTCGGGATATCCTTTGATTATTCTTGCGTTTTGAGTTTTTCCGGATTCTATAAATGTACGCATTTGGTTTTAATATTATTGACGTTGATAGACTTCTCGTTTCCATAATACATGAGAGAAACTCAGGTAAGTCTGTTATTGAGTGTATTAATAATTATCTAAAATGTGTATGTTCATTTGTATTATTTTGGCTATATCCTGTTATCTGCAACGCGTTGCTTATAAGTTTTGGGGTACTTCAACTGTATTGAAAGATAAATGGTAGTGCAACATTATCAGAAAATGGCAAATTATCGATCTTTACGCTTTTACGGAATAAGCAGCATGATTTTAAACTACCATAATAACAAACACACTCACTCACAAAAATAATTTAGCAAAAGAAATGTAGTTAGCCAATAAAAAGTACCAGGAAGTCGCATATTATCGTATTTTACGCTTTTACGGAATAAGCCGCATTTATAACTCCTTAAAAACAAACGCACACAAAAGAAATCAAAACCCTTAAATGCAATTATACTTATGAAAGGAAAAGTACCACGAAAACGCAAATTATCGTTCTTTACGCTTTTACGGAATAAGCCGCATGATTTAAAACCATCCTTAAATAACAAACACACACAAACTCGAATTCAATAAATAAAACCCTAAAATGTAGTTTGCAAAGAAAAAGTACCAGGAAAACACAAAATAACACACTCACACCAAAACGAAAGTTAGCAGAGAAAATCGTATGGTTCAATGTTGATAAACTCCTAGAGGAATTACCCCCGACTGCATAAAATTAAGTATTTTGTTAATATTCATGATGAAACACGTATAAATATTTTTCATCACTTTAATTTTTTAACACAGTATGAATGTTGCTTATTTCGATATTAATTTTTATATTTTGTATAAATAATCTTTTTTGGTTCTACAGAAAAAGCCACATGAAGGACATATGATATACTTGATGAATAACTATTTCTATATCGCATGTAATCTCCCTTGACTATTTTGTTTACATTCATAGAAATTGTTCTCTTCACTTTCATCTAATTTGTAAAAAAAAAAAAAAAAAAATGACTGCATTCCTTGCGTTAGCTATCACATTTTATTTCAATAAATATCCTTTATTATCCTTTTTAGCGATTTAACCAAATTTCTTGCATAAAACATTTTTTTTAAATATTCAACTATCAAACTATCTTCCAGGAAAAGAGTTCGTTTATAACAGAAGTTTTAACAACATAACAATGAAATTCGTCGCCTTATACTCCTGTTATTTGCAACGCTTTATGGAGAAATCGATCATTTTACTATGGAGTGATGCGTGCAACACATGCAAAATAAAATATATCGCTTTATTCCGTCAAATGTTTTCATTTTAGCTTGATCCCCCCAAAATAACCTAGCCCCATTTTTTCTTATATTAACCCCCCAAGAAAACCCTCTTCCCGGGGAAACTTCCCCTTTATGTACAATAATAAAGTTTCAATATCAGGAAAATAAAATTCGTCGCCCTATATATACTCCTGTTATTTGCAACGCTCTATGGAGAAATCGATCATTTTACTATGGAGCGTTGCGTGCAACGCATGCAAAATAAAATAGCGCTTTATTCCGTCAAACGTCTATATTTTTATCTTGATTCCCCCCATAAAAACCAAGCCCCATTTTTTCTTATATTAACCCCCCAAGAAATCCCTCTTCCCGGGGAAACTTCCCCTTTATGTACATAATATAGTTTCAATATCAGATAAACAAAATTCGTCGCCCTATATATACTCCTGTTATTTGCAACGCTCTATGGAGAAATCGATCATTTTACTATGGAGTGATGCGTGCAACGCATGCAAAATAAAATAGCGCTGTATTCCGTCAAACGTCTATATTTTTATCTTGATTCCCCCCAAAAAAGCCAAGCCCCATTTTTTCTTATATTAACCCCCCAAGAAATCCCTCTTCCCGGGGAAACTTCCCCTTTATGTACATAATAAACTTTCAATATCAGATAAATAAAATTCGTCGCCCTATATATACTGTTATTTGCAACGCTCTATGGAGAAATCGATCATTTTACTATGGAGCGTTGCGTGCAACGCATGCAAAATAAAATAGCGCTTTATTCCGTCAAATGTTTTCATTTTAGCTTGATCCCCCCAAAAATAGCCAAGCCCCATTTTTTCTTATATTAACCCCCCAAGAAATCCCTCTTCCCGGGGAAACTTCCCCTTTATGTACATAATATAGTTTCAATATCAGATAAATAAAATTCGTCGCCCTATATATACTCCTGTTATTTGCAACGCTCTATGGAGAAATCGATCATTTTACTATGGAGCGTTGCGTGCAACGCATGCAAAATAAAATAGCGCTTTATTCCGTCAAATGTCTATATTTTTATCTTGATTCCCCCCAAAAAAGCCAAGCCCCATTTTTTCTTATATTAACCCCCCAAGAAAACCCTCTTCCCGGGGAAACTTCCCCTTTATATACTCTTATATAGTTTCAATAGCAGGTAAATAAAATTCGTCGCCCTATATATACTCCTGTTATTTGCAACGCTCTATGGAGAAATCGATCATTTTACTATGGAGCGTTGCGTGCAACGCATACAAAATAAAATAGCGCTTTATTCCGTCAAATGTCTATATTTTTATCTTGATTCCCCCCAAAAAAGCCAAGCCCCATTTTTTCTTATATTAACCCCCCAAGAAAACCCTCTTCCCGGGGAAACTTCCCCTTTATATACTCTTTTATAGTTTCAATAGCAGGTAAATAAAATTCGTCCCCCTATATATACTCCTGTTATTTGCAACGCTCTATGGAGAAATCGATCATTTTACTATGGAGTGATGCGTGCAACGCATGCAAAATAAAATAGCGCTTTATTCCGTCAAATGTCTATATTTTTATCTTGATTCCCCCCAAAAATAGCCAAGCCCCATTTTTTCTTATATTAACCCCCCAAGAAAACCCTCTTCTCGGGGAAACTTCCCCTTTATGTACACTTAAATATAGTTTCAATATCAGGAAAATAAAACTCGTCGCCCTATATATACTCCTGTTATTTGCAACACTCTATGGAGAAATCGATCATTTTACTATGGAGCGTTGCATGCAACGTTTTCTCAGAATCAGAGAATTAATATGATAAATCTGCTTCATACTTGTAATTTTCATTATTCTTAGACGCCTTAAAAACATTACCTTATCATTTGCTTTATTTGCTCAATGAACCTCAAATATACCTGAATGAATTTAATTTGATAAGGATCGGTATACGATATTTCAATTATTTTCTGTGGTAAAAACTTATATGCAACGCGTTGCAAATAACAGGATATAGCCATTATTTTCATATTATCCAAACTGAACTCTTAGGATTAGCAGGAATGCGATACTTCTCCTCTTTTCGATATACTAATGTCTTAGTGTGTCTCGAGACCGGGTCTTAAAAAATCCACGTTGTAATGAGAGTTATCAAAAAAAATTGATAAACTAATATCCTATCTATTTTAATTTCTGCCTTAAAATTTCATTCGATTATATATATTAAAGTATGGTGTACAATGTATTAGAAAATTTCAGTGAATTTATCTAGATTCCTGATTCTAAGCTAACCCTATTCACTGTAGAGAAGTGGACAGGCTTTCCCTTTGCCAGCCTTCATGTTATTATTCTGGAAAATGTATAAATGTAGAACCGGTGACGGCCTGCACTTTAACTACAATTTCATCTAGCTGAAATATATCTGATTTTACATACTTACAAACGTACGTGTAAAATTAACAATATCAACATATATACATACAACTGTCACAAGAAAACCAACCTTTACATGTTGCAAATCCATTTTCACAAGTTCTCCATCCCGCAGGATTTAAATTTTAATCTCAGACAAAATTCTTGTTGAAGTGTAGGCCGTCATCAGTTCTACATTTTACGTGTTTTCCAGAATCAAAACATGAAGGCCTGGGGGGAGAAGTGGATGTAGGCAAAGCCTGTCCACTGCTCTAAAAAGAAAAGGCTAATTCATAATCCACAAATTTGTCTGTCTGAACCAGGACAGATATGAACATGGTAGTAAACAAAGTCTTCACATGTATGCCAACTTTCCCGATGTAGGTGGGATCCTCCCGATTTTACCCTTTCATCCCGTCTTCCCGATCAGAAGAGAAAAATTGCCCCAATTTCCTGATTTGAAAAAATTGGCATGTAATGTGTGGTCTTCATCATGTTCATGTTATCAATGGTCTTTCAATATCATGAAGTGACACACAATTTTGATAAATGCAGGTCCAAATTGTAACATAGGAAGATGGAATTAGGATTGGATTTTGATGATACTGACTTCATTGAAGAAAAGAAGATAATATGAAAGAGTCCAAGCTCATATCATATAATGCCAAAGTCTGTGGTCCAATGGTATGTTTCCCTGCTCACAGAGGTCTGTCTTTGACTCTAAATTGTCATTATGAGGAAATGAATTTGGATATTATTTTTTTAAAATATATTTGCAGTGGTTTGAATTAGGATTATTAATTTTTTTTTAGTGGTTTGAAGATGCTGAAGTGTCAGACCCAGAAACAGCTGCCAATGTTTATAAATTCAGGGGAGACCAGCAATACTACAACAAGCAGTACGAAGAAGCAGTGTCATGCTACAAAAAGGCACTAGGTATGTACACATTCAAGCTTGATATGGGCATTTAATGCAAATGAGCGAATAAAACCATGAAAAACATTTCTTACAGAGAAGATGTTAACTCACTTTCATAAACATGTTTACCACCCTTGACATGTTTTAAAAAGCTATTACTCATCATGACATCATATTTATGTGCATTTTACAGAAAACCTTCCTTTGTCAAACAGATGTATGAGACACGATTTAAATGAGTCACTAGCCAGGTGCTATGTTGCCCTTGAAAAAACAGCTGAAGCTCTTGATCTCGCTCAAAAATTGGTAATACATGTAGTGGTATTGACTTACTTATTCATAATTACTGTAAATCACTTTTTATTCGCGAGAAATTTATTTTCGCGTAATTACGCAAGACAGTGTGCTCGCGAAAAATAAGTTCTCGTGTATAATAGTATTCCTTAAGATTATATAGAGCAATAACCACAATTCGTGAAAATTTTGTCTCGCTTATCAAGAGTCAATGACTATCTCGCGAAAAAAAGGTGTCGCGAAAATTTAGTGATTTACAGTAAGTAAATCAGCTATACATTTAAATCAATAAACAATTACTAAGCTCTTAGATCTTATGACCTAAAATCTTATGTTTAAGACTTTGAACTCCATGTAGGAAATAAAAAAAAACATATGATTTAATTATTTGAATGGACACTTTTGTACAGATGAACTTGAGGTTTACACAACTTTATTAATCTTACAGATAAATAATAGCACAAATATAGATCAGAGGACTCAAGCCTATATTCTTCTACAACAGATACAACACAGGCTCTGCCATTTAGAAGGTAGGCTCTACAATTTAGAAGGTATCTGATTTTTAAAACTCATAAATGAATTTTGGGTTGGATCTAGAAATTTCCTTATCCATTTGTCTTAGAGTGTTCCCTTACAAATATGTCCAACCCATAACTTCTAAATGAAGAAACAGTGAAAGCTCATACTTGAAAAAAGATTGAATCCAACATAAGGGAATTTCAAGGTCATTTTGCAAGTTCAAGGTCATGTAGAAAATGCATAATTGCTGTCCTGCTGGCTAAAAATTGCAGTGTCTGGTTTACTTTTCTGTGTTTAATTTCTTTCCTATTTATACCTTCATTTACAGATGAGGAGACAACATTAAAGCAGCTAATAACCTTACATCCCTTCAATGTGGAGTTTTGGCTGATGTTAAAACATAATTACTGGAGGAGATTCTGTTGTGAAGATTCAGTGAAGAGTGGACCACACAGCCAGGAGTACATAAAACTACTGGCCTGTCTGGTCAGAGCTAGGTATTCTGACTACCGGTACATGTATTGCTCTACACAGTTTTAACAGTAACGTATATTTCTGTATGTAATTTTATTAAGGCCATAAATTATTTATTTCTTCCCTAACTAAACATTAAAATTACCCATATCAAAAACAATTCCTTCTCGTCCATGTCTGAGTCTGAAATAAATGATGTACTATCAAACAAACAATATTTTAGAGGGACAATCCATTTTCAGGTTACTTATTCGGAGTGTAAGAACTTCAGTTCTTTCCTTTGTTAAGGAGAGGCATCAGCATCTGACGAAACAGGTATGATTCCTTTATTGTTTGTCCCAGGAACTAGAAGTTTTCCTGTATTACCACAAATAAATGTACTTCACTACATCATATGAATGTTTTAAAACTACAAATAGTTAATCATAAAATATCATGTTTTCACTATAACTTTTTTTCATTGTTCATGGTTTTGAGCTTTGTCTAAACAGTTTAATAAAATCTGTAGTAGGTAATAAACACTCAGAATTGCATGGTTACCGGGAATGCAGTCTCCCTTTTCTGTACATTTGCATTTCAAATTTCACAGGTGGAAGCGGACTTGGAAAAATTTCAGCCCTCAGAGTCAATTCTACTAGCTGCCAGAAAGGTAAAATGATCACTTGGTTCATAATTGTTTCTTTTAAAATTCTCATACATCTTTATGCTTAGTGATATTTTTCTTTCTTCTGCAGCATTTGGGGGAGGATATCTTTAAACTTGACAATGCTGAGGAAGATGTCAAAGAACCAGAACAAAATCCAGATATGGAACATCTAGACTTTGAAGATCGCTGGTTTAAATGGAGTTTATAGCATATAATGTTTTCATTTAGAACATAAAAATTTTGTATCACTACTACTCGCAATATGAAAATAAAAGACACATACTAGTATCTTATCAATCTTATGACACTTTGTCATTTACTTAATTATAACAGTCATTACATAAATGGAACAATCATATGTTCCCTCTGAAATGAAATGTATCTTTTCTAGACCACCTAAATTGGTCAGGTGACCAGTTGCTACATGTATCTATGTTTACATCTGTGATCGTGTGTAAAGCAACGTGCATTGTGCATGAATATTTGAAGATTTTTAGCTTCTTTCCAACTATTGAACGTGCATTGTGCATGAATATTTGAAGATTTTTAGCTTCTTTCCAACTATTGAACTGATTTCAACCAATTTTGGTTTATAGCATTTATGGTCAAAGGGGAATAAAAATTACAACATTTTCTCTGCATCCCTTGGGCCTGAGAGATGGGACATAAAGCAATCATGCCAACAGTTTGACTGCTTGATGTCCAGGAGGAAAGAAGATTTTTAAAGATGGCACTATAATTTTAATGGTTTAAGCCCCACTCCTCAGGTCCGTGGGGGAGGGCTCCAGAAATTCAGAAATTTTGTTCCCCAATAGATGCCATATATTCTGAAATTGGTTATGAGGTATCAGAGAAGCTGAAAATGTTCAAATGTTGACATATAAAGCATAACGAATGCCTATGGACAAAAAATGTTTAAATGTTAACTCACGAAGCATGGCTGATGGTGGACAATTCACAATGACTGACGAAAAGGGATAGCAAAAGGTCACTGGAATGACTCAGGTGACCTAAAATCTAAGTATGGTTTTTGTACAAAACAGAGACACTTAGATGATTTTTATATTTTATTATTACTGATTTTGACAGCAATTGACAGATATTTAGCTGTCAAACATTTAACAAAATAAGCAACACTTAACATGTATTATACATTGATTCACTAAAACTTTGTCTTGCATATGGTATGCATATATTCTACATGTATTAATTAATGTTTATTGCACTATGCCACAAAAACTCCCAGTAGATTAAGCCATTTTAAGACAAGCTGCTGGGAATCCATCTCCCTTGTGTCGACTGACCAAGTCCAGCAGAGCCTGCTTCTTATGGAGAGCTCGCGATGACTCAAGTTCATACAGCGTACACAGATTAAACAAAACTCCCTCGTGAAGATTCCGCACTGGGTCTTCATGCACCAAAACTTCTAAGGTCTTCAGTGCATCCATCAGCTTGCCCATATAAAGGGAACAAGCTGCCATATTGTTGACAGCCTGTAAAGAGAAAGAAGGGAAAGTGTTTACTCAAAAGTTCTCTGATATGTTCTAAATTAACAGTACATCTTTCATTTATTCTACGATCTTACAGAAGTGTTAGTAGGATCTGCTTCCACAGCTTGTTTGAAGTTTTGATAAGCATCTGAGAAATTGTTCATACACATAGCCTCTAATCCCCTGCAATTAAAAAGATACATGAACAGCCTGCAATGTAAAATATAAACAATTCTGAGTAATCTACTGCATTAATATACTGTAGATACGCGAAAATAAAGTTCTCGCGAATAAAAAGTGATTTACAGTATGCAAGTTGAATAAAGCAAATGTAAAATCAGTCAGTTGTAAAAGTTACCATCCAGGGTAACTTGCTTTATTCAACAGGTATGATTTATCTAACACACAAAGGATAAATGTCCATACATTCACCCATGTAAATTTCTTGATCATCGATCACACACTCAGTGTAAATAACATTGGTTCAATTCTTTTGTTTGACTAAAGCACATTAATATTCATTTATATGCAAATTAACCTACATTATAACAGTTTATACATTACCTTTTCATTGGATTCATACATTAATACATTGATACAAATGTATATCAATTTAACGTTACTGTTTAATACACTATGTACCATTAGCGAGTTAAAATTGTATGAATTACAATTACCTGTTGATAGCATTCCTACACTGTATAGATTTGTCGCCACTGTTGGAGATCACCTCTGAATGCTTAAAGCAATCCTGGGCTTTGTCAACATTCCCCATCTACACCAAAAAAAAAATATAATACATTGCGATGCATGTAATCTAATCCTTATTTATTAAGAATAATTTATTTTCACCCGAACACCCATTCTAACTTGATCTGATCATATACAGTAAATGAAGTGATTTCCAGCAAATTTTACCTACAATAGTATGTTTACCTGTAAGTAAATACGACCCATTCCACTGAGTAGCCCCGCCTTCCTTGTGGGGTCTTTCTCTAGTAGATTATTGTATATGGTCATGGCAGCTTCATAATCCTGTAAAAAAAAATTAAATACTTTGAACAAAAAACTATCAGCAAACAAATGAACAAGAAGACCCGGCCCTTGGATCATGACACAGACTTAAGTAAGATTTTCACCTGCCTGTAAAATGTATACTTAAGCCTTATTATTACTTGATCTTGAAATTTGCAGATAACAACATATATTTAAAAGTCCAAAAAAATTCTTACTCTTAATGCAAGGAAGGTATTTCCTATCACATATAAAACTTGTCTCTCCCGTTCCTGCCAAATCTCCAAAGAACCTGAAAAGGTAACATTGCACATACAAGCACGTTTTTAATGAATAAAAAAGAGATTTCATCATAATCACTTTCCATCACAGATTTACTCAACATTTCTAAATTTTCAAGTTACTTTTACACAACTATACCTTTCCTGCTTCCATCACTAAGCTGTACAGCGCTTCCATCTTCTGCATATCCCTCCTGGAGATTTTTAATGATCTGAATTTGAAAGAAAAGGTCTATATTAACAAAGTACACCCTGCTATCAGTGACAAAGTTTGCACTCTAAATTTATGGACCAGTTAAATAACTTGAGCACCTGTTTTTGACAGTTTACTACAATGAAGACACACCTTTTGAGTGACAGCCAGTATGTAGTAAAGCCTGTCTATGGTTTCCTGGGATCTTCCCATGTAATGTGGAATCTCAGCATGTAATATCCTCATCCCAAACGGTACCATGGACCCTACAACAAAGTAATAAATGTAGATTCCAATGTTTCTCCGTAAGAAAGAAATTGACCAGACATGTTTGCACAGACAGACAGATGGACAGACATGGTGATTCCCATATACCCCAAACTTTCTTTGTGGGGCAAACAAAAATTTTGACCCAGCATACTTGATTTGCGTTGAAAACCAAAAATGGCAATCCAAGAAATATTGGTTATTTTTTAACAATGGATTAAACCCCAATACATGTAACAATTCCATGGAATTATGACTTATAAATGCTTGGAGTCATTTTGATAATGTATTAAAATACTGAAAAAGTTTTAACCTTTACGACCTGGATAAATGTGTGGATAAAATTCAAAGTAGAGGTCTGGGGTGTCCAGATTCTGGAAAGCCTGCATCTCTGACTCGGCCACACTGTATAGTCTCAGTTTCAGTAGAAGGGTAAAACGACAAAACCATAACTGTAAAGAACATAACAGAGAGTGGGCAATTACTTCAATTAAAGGTTTGTCTAACCTATGTTACTACAACATATTTTAGAAAAGTAGGTCAAAATTCAAGGTCATAGGATCAAATATTGAAAGCATATGGTGATAAGTCTTGTCACAGATAATGTACACATGAAATATGAAAGCCCTCCCTATCTCTTCTCATTCAAAACCAAGGTCTAAGTTTTTGTGACAGTCTGACAGACTGACAGATGGACAGGTAAATGAGATTCAATGTCCCAATGTTTTGGCGAGTGCAGGACACAAAAAATTTACCTGTATTGTATGTACTGTATGCTGGGTAATTTCACCAGCTTTACCAGGTCCCTGGCCAGCTGCTGTCAACAACCTTCTGCACATGTCTACAGCTGAACGGTAGCAACCACCTTTCTACAATGACAAGATGCTTCATTAAAAAAAACATTAAAAAGAAGTAAAACAACAATAAGAGTGAAGGTAAATACCCCGGTAATGAGACTCCTTTTTGTTGAAGGGGAGCCATAGCAATTTCTATGAATAAAAAGCCTTGATCTGGCCCCCTTTTTTACATATATGACCAATGCTGGTTTCTTACAATGAGAGCTTGGAGTCCCTCCACATCTTGAGTCACACTGTCTACAGTCAGAATCTGCCGTTTGATAGCTTCCTGTTCTCCCATGTATCTGTATACTAAATCTCTCACTGGATCACCCTATAATATAAATACTCAGCCTCATACATGTATAAAGCTTTGATTTATAAAGTAAGAATGATTTTTTTTAATTTATTATTTTTCTTTATTAAAACTAAACAAGTTTCTGAGATGTTAAATACCTGTGGTTCATCAACAACAATTCCAGGAGTACTTAGCTCCTCCAGGGTTGGGACATACGATCCCGGTACACTTGTGGCTATTGTCAGCAGAGTTTGTCTGGTGCCGTCAGAAGGAATCCAGGCATCATGCTGTCTGTCGGACTCGCTCATCTGTAAGCTTGCTGTAAATGGATCTGTGGTATCTACATTTGGTAAAGACTGGAATGTGTTAGTAGCACTACTCTCCAAATCCAATGTTCCCTGTACTGCAGTCTCTTTTCCATCTGCAAAACATAAAGAGGCCCATGGTACACATCGTTCACCTATTTAAAGATGTTTTAAGTAATGAAAAGCAAAAATAAACAGGAGAAAAGTCAAAGTTGTACAATATTGTGAATACTCAAAATTATGGCTTAATCCTTTAAAGGAAAATATAAACCAAATTTTCAGCTTACCACTAACATGACTTTGTGTGGAAAAGACAGGTGTAGTAGGTGTCAACAATGGTGCAACATTTACAGCAGACAGAGGGGGACCACTGAATGGTTGATTGACAGGAGAAGGAATTATGGGAGGAGTTGGTATTGCACCCTGGGAATGTTGACTGGATACAGATAATTGTGTATTGTAGTCATGATGCATTGTTTCCGAGGTGGTTCTATGTCGTTCATTCAGATGGATATCTGTTATCCCTCCAATCGCTTGGTCAATGTCGGCCGGGCCACTCTCAGCAGTAAAAGATTCAAAATCTTCCTTATCATCTATTAACTGCATGGAGGCCTCCATAACATTCAAATCATTCTCAGGAACAGCTTCAAAATCAACACTTTCTGGCTCATCTTTAGAGAGTCTCCTTTCTAACGTATCATGGCGAACCACAATTTCTCCGCTATCTTCTGTTTCAGGTTGTTGGTCATTGGTTTGATTTAAAAGATTTTGTTGTTCTACCTCTACTTTTTGTGGTTGTTCTGTTTCCTCTGCTTGTGACAAGCTCAGATTAACTTCTTCCTGACTTTGTCCACTACTTAGTGCACTAAATGGATCATTTTCCTGACTGTCACTGGTAAAGTAGCTACTTATATTGACTTGATCTTTAACAGGGCTGTCCAGAGGCTTTACTTCCAATGTTTCTATAGAAGTCTCTAAGTTTATTGGTACATCTGTAGTCTGGTACTCTGTGATTTCCTTTACTCCTGGAGCTGCTATCTCTATCCCCGTATCCTCTGCAATACTTGGATTGCTGTCACTGGGGTCTTCCAGCAGAGATAATTCATCAGTAATTGGTCCTAACGCAACAGAGTCCAAGGTATCTGAAGTGGCTGAGTGCACAATCCGATTTGTGACGTCAGGTGAAAGAAAGCTGTCATCAAACTGACTATCATCAAGAAAGTCATCATCTAATACATCAATAATCTTGTCGTCTGACATCTATTAGGATGATAAAGAGAAAACTCATATATTCGTACCAATAATGTAGAGTGATAATTCAAAGTGGGCTTTTCAAAAATACTTTTACATGTGCAGAAATGTCTGAATATGAATGGGGATTTTTTGTCTAGATCAATCTGATGTTCCGATTTCAGCCAATCCTAGCTACAGTGTATGTACATTGCCCTTCATCATCATTAATCAGGTTGGGACCACTCGCCCAAATGGGATATACTTCGTTTGAGACATAATATCGCAAATGTATGGTGTCCAGATAGGGCCATTTGCGTTAGCGCGACATCGCGTTCAGATAAACGCGCTGTCGCGCTAACACACAGCACGTCGTCGCGCTAACACAACTTTGCACACCGCGCCGTCGCGCTAACACACAACAAGCCGTTGCGCTAACGCAACTTTGCACAACGAGCCGTCGCGCTAACGCAACTTTGCACAATGCGCCATCGGGCTAACACACAACGTGCCGTCACGCTTACGCACAACACAACGTCGCGCTAACACAACTTTGCACAAAACGCCGTCGCGCTAACACAACTTTGCACAACACGCCGTCGCACTAACACAACTTTGCACAACACGCCGTTGCGCTAACGCAACTTTGGAAGTTTCACAGTCTAGTAGGAAGTCGTGTACGGAAATATAAGACTGCGCATGCTACGGAAGCGTATTTGGGCCGCAGCAGTGTTTTTTTTAATTTGTTATAACAAATCATTAATTTGTTATAACAAATCATTAATTTGTTATAACAAATTAGTAATTTGTTAAAACAAATTATCAATTTGTTTAAACAAATTAGTATTTTGTTAAAACAAATTAGTAATTTGTTAAAACAAATTAATGATTTGGCTTAACAAATTAATAATTTGTTATAACAAATTAATAATTTGTTATAACAAATTAATAATTTGTTATAACAAATTAATAATTTGTTATAACAAATTAAAAAAAAAATACTGCTGCGGCCTTAATACGCTTCTGTACCTTTAAGATTCCCAAGACCAATCTCATCCAGAATTTCATCCATTATATGGTTAAGCATGTGCAGTCTTATATTTCTGGACACGACTTCCTACTAGACTGTGAAACTTGCAAAGTTGCAGTGTGTTGTGCAAAGTTGTGTTAGCGTGATGGCGTGTTGTGTGTTAGCGCGATGGGGAGTTGTGTGTTAGCGCGACGGTGTGTTGTGCAAAGTTGCGTTGGGGAGACGGCGTGTTGTGTGTTAGCGCGACGGCGTGTTGTGCAAAGTTGCGTTAGCACGAACGCGTGTTGTGTGTTAGCACGATGTCTCGTTTATTTGAACGCGATGTCGCGCTAACGCAAATGGCCCTATCCGGACACCATACAAATGGGATATAAATTTACAGTGCAAAAAAAGAAAATTTTCATTTTCACTATAATAAATAAATCCACATCAGGACACGAAAAAAGGAATAGCTTTTGGTTCACAATTTTTTTCTTTATGCCCATTGTTTAGGAGATTGATCCCTCTGAAGTTCCATAACTTCTTGGGGATCAATCTCAAGGGCGGATTCAGGGGGGTTCGGGAAAACCCCCCCGCTCATTGATTTTTTTTTTTACAAGTGTCATTTTATCATTTTGTTGCATTGATAAGACTCTAATAAACATAAACCCTTTGTTTGTACAACTGTGAAATTTACATCCACTACGTAACAGGAAATCTCTTTCCGCTTGAACGCACACAATACACAGGTAATCAACAGAGAGAGTGCCTCAGAGAGCGGGTACTCCGTGCATCTAGTGAAATCACTAGATCACAGTACAATGTAATCAGGTACCAACAATAGAAAACTGCAAAGTTATGATGCTGCTCAGTTATATTCTTTTGCTGATAAAATTCATGTTTTTTAAACTATGAATAAACTATTATTCAGGGTTTTTTTTACCGTTTTAAAATTAAATTAAAATTAATATAATTTTTTTTACAAAACCAGGTTGGCTTAGCAAACCCCTCTAGTTTTGACAGATTCTCCAGTTTATGTAAATTTTTTCTTCAGTTAATTATAAGACAGTTTGAAATTTCATTAATTGTACACGTGTGTTTATATTCCAAATCATATTAACAGTATATACTCAAGTAAGTTGAAAAGCACAAGTTAGGGATTCTGAAAAGAATTCAATTTTTAATTTTTTTAGTGTTAAAAATTTGGTATATTAGTTGTATCTTGGAAGTCAACTGCTTGCATTCCTAAAATTGTCAGATTTAACATTTTTTTTAAAGCAAAGTCTAAAGTCTTGTGTTAAAGTTAAATTAAATTGAAAACATTTTATTAAAAATTTGTGATGATCGGTCTTTAAAAAAGCTACAAAAAATACCCCCAAAATGCTGGAAAATGCACCATTTAGAACCATTTAAAACAAAATTAAAACCCGAACCCCCACCAATGGGAGGGGGAAACCCCCTCCCATGCCCTCCCCCTTCGGCCCTTTGGTCCTCAAGATCCCCCTCCCCCCACTTGAACTTCTGGATCCGCCACTGAATCTTACAAACTGTAGGGTTGCAGAAAACCTTGCTTACCAAAACTTATTCCTTTTTAAGTGTATTGATGCGGATTTGTGATATTTAGAGCCAAAATAAAAAAAAAAATTTGGGCTAGTGGTCCCAACCTGTTTATATAGACCTACATTCACTGCTCTAATCCGAGATTCCTCTAACTTTAACCCCTGCTTTTTATACAGTATTGTGACTTGCACAAGTCACAATATAAAAAGCAGGGGCCCGTTTTACAAAGGGACTTACGAACTAAGACCAAGTATAATTATTCATATAACTTTTTAATTAACATTATATCGAAAATTATTTTAAACATTTTAAAAAGAATGTGGTAAGATATTTACACAGACAATTTCAAAGAGAATTATTAATTTTGCAAAATTTTACAATAATCTGAAGTTTTTAGTCTTAGTCGTAAGTTCTTTTGTAAAACGGGCCCAGGGGTTAGAGTCAGAGGAATCTCGGATTATCACTGCTCCAGTTGAGAGAATGGCACGGACTAACTGATATTTATCATTTTCACAATTTAGTTTTAGAATAAACAAATTAAATTAGGTCTAAACTTTGAAAATTATCTGTTCAAAACTAAAAATCTGCACCAAAAATGCGAACCTTGGCTGCAGTTGGCAGTCAAACTGTCAACTTCCAACAGGTGATATTTTGTGGCATATGTCGTAAAAACTTACGCATCTTTTTTTCCATAACTGTTATTCCCTTTATTTTTATTTTCAAATGAATATTGTCATAAAAGTGTTGTTCTAAACGATAGTTGCTCTGTAAACTATTTATTTTTTCATATTCATTTATTTTAGAATTTGATCTCAATATTACGACAACCGAAGACTGAACACAATGGAAGATGAGGCTCCTGTCATCTATGGATTAGAATTTCAAGTATTTCTCAGTATTCTGTTATAAATTCAAGTCATTTTTTTATCAGATAACGAATTTTGTTTTCAATTACCAACAATTGTCATATTATTATATTCTGTAAACTTTGAATATTTTAACTGTCTGTCGGAACAAGCTATCACCACAGGGGCATCTTATCCACTCTGTTCTCTACTTCACATATAAAAATACACAAGGGAAGAATCGAAAGTAGCACACGATTTTTAAAAAAAGTCAAAAAAACAACTTACTTGAGAAAAGTTACACAAATTCTGAAAGGAACTAGCGCAAATAATGTCCTAGTACTTATCCAGGCTAAAATATTCCAGATATATCCATCGAAAATAGCTTTTATCCAACTAAAACCCCAGCTTTCTGCACAGTGTGAATCTCTACGCCCAAGAAAAGATAACTCACCCGGATGACAATAGGGTAGTACCCGAGGCCTTCCGAGTGCCATTGGAAGACTTCGGGCACTACCCTATTGTCATCCGGGTGAGTTATCTTTTCTTGGGCGTAGAGATTCACTCTATGCAGAAAGCTGGGGTTTTAGTTGGATAAAAGCTATTTTCGATGGATATATCTGGAATATTTTAGCCTGGATAAGTACTAGGACATTATTTGCGCTAGTTCCTTTCAGGATTTGTGTAACTTTTCTCAAGTAAGTTGTTTTTTTGACTTTTTTTAAAAATCGTGTGCTACTTTCGATTCTTCCCTTGTGTATTTTTATATGTGAAGTAGAGAACAGAGTGGATAAGATGCCCCTGTGCTATCACTGACTGTTTATAATTATATCATAAATATATGCCGGGGTCCTATTGAACCGGTGTACTTTGTAGCAAATGCGAGCCGATTCGCACCAGTGAAATTGTCTAGTTCACATAGAACATGACCGACCACTCATTTACTAGACTGTGACAGTTGTTTGTGGCTTTGTGTCAAACTCTGCATACCGTTTTTTTTTAATTATGTAGAATAAACTGTCATGGAAGAGTTTTGGAGACTTGTGATTTTTCCATTTAACATTCTTCTCTATTTAAAGAGGTCTTTGGCCTTCCAAAGACCCCAATCAAGGCTCATCCTTGGCAGGCCTCTCACCTGCCAGTTCCAAGGCATGGCACGGCACCTAATATAACGGGAGAGGAGAAAAATGCAGCGGACCAGACTGGGATTCGAACCAGGGCCCCCTGAATTTCCAGTCAGGTGCTCTACCGACTGAGCTGATCTGGCCACTGTCGATTGAACCCAGCTGACCGCTACAAAACAATATAATATATACCGTATACTCGTTAGTTCAAAGATTGAACAGATGTTTTGTACTTTTCAGGCAAGATCAATTTCAGCCCAATCGGCTGAGACAGAACAGATACGATTTCTTGTCGGGACACAGTCTCTTCGATCTGAGAATCAGGTATCCATACTTAAGATAACCCACCCACCCCAAAAAGGACCGTAATGTCAATCTTCATTTTAAAGAAAATTTCTAAAAAAGTTTGCTATAAAACACCCATCACTAAACAGTATTTTCTAAAAATATATCTGATAACTAATGATTTTTCTATGTTATAGGTTCATCACATTGACTTTGACGATGAAAACAATATTCTCAATAAAAATGTTTTCCTACACCGAGAAGGAGAAATATGGAATCTTACAGCATCAACCGTTGACAAGAATTTACTGACAACATGCTACAATAAAAGTAAGAATTCAGAATTATCTGAAATAAATATTTGTGTGTTGATGTGTTTCTTCTGCAGGTATGTCTTAATTTAAGTAAACGTTTAAACATGATTATGCAACCCATACTACTAATTGTATACATAAAGTAGTGTTAAAACTTACATTAAAAGTATTATTTTAGCTTCAGAATCTAAGGCCGAGATGAAAGCTGCCCTATGGAGGATACCTTGTGATTTTGATAACTCAGATGACAGTTCTCATTCCTCCTTAGAACTTGTATGCCATCTTGACAATGCGGATTATGGTGACATGAAGAGGTAACTGAATGAGTTTGAATTTACTTCATATACAAACGAATAAATGATTCTTTTCATGTACATGCAGTAAAAAAAAATGCTCATAGCAATGCACCAGGGATAGAAAATTATACAAGGACAAAAGCAGATACAAAAAGAGAGTAGCCAATAGCAAGTTCTCTCTAATGCAATTTGTCATTGCTGTTGTAATAAATTGTTCAGAACAAGATATGCCAGCAGAAAAGGCCAAAACAAATAGTGTGATTCCCATTCCAGCTGTAGAAAAAATAGGGTAGGTAGGGAAACATTCTACAGTCAAACTTGATTATCTCAAATCTGATGGGACTGAGAAAAACTTCGATATATCCAAGGATTCGAGATATTGAAGTCAATTACGGTACTTAAAGAATATGTGGTTGGGACTTCCAAATCACTTCGACATATCCATGGTATTCGAGATATCAGAGTTTGAGATACCGAAGTTCAACTGTATTTTAAGATTTCATTGACAAGCACGCTGCCATTTTTCCCAAGGGAAATCACTGTCAGGATATTTCTGATTAATGTGCTTATGATATGCATTTTCTCAAACATGGAAGTGATCAAAATTGGGATTTCTAGTAGTAAAAATGGAATGCTTTACTCCTGGAAAGATATTGGCAGAAATTGTTTTTGGGTTGGCTCCTACATTTTAGGGTTGGTCGGGGAACTGGAAACACACAATTTTATTTATCTAGGTCTAAGGATGCTGAAATGAATAACATGCAGACATAAGATGTCAGCTGTATGGTTTGATTTTTCAATGCAGATCCCTAACAATCACCAGACATATTTTGTCTTCATCGTTACTGAATTATTTTTCATAGTATGTAAGGGTTAATTCTTAATTTACCACAAAAGTTGTATATCCCAGTTTAGTTATAGCTACCTTGATAATTAGCAATCTAATTGATTCTCCCAGGAGGGGAACTTGTAAATTGTAAAAACTTGTTTCTACTCCCTTACTGTCAAGCATAAAATATGTTCAAATCAAAGTAGATTCACAATGCCATAACCTAAAACCGGTATTTATATTTAAAGTAATGGTAAAATGATTTTTTTTAAACATTAAAGCAAAAATTATTTTAAAACTAGCCATTGACAATTTCATAGAATAATGTTTTCTTGATGTTGTATATTTTCAGTGTGTTATGGCACCCGACTGGTGATAATACCACACTGGTTGGTATCTCAGACAGTCATTTAATCACCTGGGACTTTGACGCTTCATCTTCTGTAGCCAAAGTGAGTATTCTTTCCAATTAATTTTTTTAAAAAATCGAAATTGAATAACTAAAAAAAAAAATTTTAAGGCATAGTGTAAAAAAAAAAAACCAAGAAACTTCTTACACCTGAACAAATTCTTTTTTCTTCAGATTTAGATTAAATGTAAAATAACAAAAACAAAAATGTTAAAACAAAAGTATCAATTCATCATTCACATACCGGTATTTCAATCAAAAGCTTAAATGATGGTATTGTTTACAATTAAAAATTTTCAAGATTAAGGAATCTACCGGCCTGGAAAGTAAAGGTCAGCCAAAGTTCACGTGTGTGAGATGGAACCCTCATCACAACTGTACACAGGTAGCCACCGCTAATGATACCTGTATCAGGGGCTGGGATATCAGATCCATGCAGTAAGTACAAAGTAGTCACAGAAATTCAGCTCAAGATGCAGAATTTCTTTTGGTCATTCTCCATTTAATCAGATATTGCATTTTATTTAAAAGTACACAAGAATTCATATACAGCTGTATGTACAAGCAAATTTTTTTATGCCTCCCTTCAAAGAAGGGAGGCCATGTTGCTTTGCTGCTGTCTGTCTGTCAGTCAGTAAGTTGGTTGGTCTGTCAGTCCATCATCAGTTTTTGTTCATTTTCTTCGCAGGGGTTTCACATATTGAAATGAAATTTAATATACATATTTATCACAAGAATATCTAGGGGAAGTTCTGTTTTGGGTATGATAAATTCATTTTTGACAGAGTTATGTCCTTTGGACTTAGAAAAATTCCAATTATTTGGGGGAATGGGGCATAAGTGTTTTACAAACATCTCTTGTTAGCGCACCTGAGTGAGTTTTTCTGATCACAGTTTGTCCGTTGTCCGTCCGTCTGTAAACTTTTCACATTTTCGACTTCTTCTCAAGAACCACTGAGCCAATTTTGACCAAACTTGGTACAAAGCATCCTTGGGTGAAGGAAAATTCAAATTGTTAAAATGAAGGGCCCAGTCCCCTCACAAGGGGAGATAATCAAGAAAAGACAAAAATAGGGTGGGGTCATTAAAAAATCTTCTTCTCAAGAACCACTGGGCCAGAAAAGCTGAAACTTATGTGTAAGCATCCTGAGGTAATGTAAATTCTAAATTGTTCAAATCATGACCCCCGGGGGTTGGGCAGGGCCACAATGGGGAATCAAAGTTTTACATAGAAATATATAGGAAAAATCTTTAAAAATCTTCTTCTCAAGAACCACTGGGCCAGAAAAGCTGAAACTTATGTGGAAGCATCCTGGGGTAGTGTAGATCTAATTTGTTCAAATCATGACCCCGGGGGTTGGGCGGGGCCACAATGGGGAATCAAAGTTTTACATAGAAATATATAGGAAAAATCTTTAAAAATCTTCTCAAGAACCACCGGGCCAGAAAAGCTGAAACTTAGGCGTAACAAAAAATTATGTTTGTTTACGGTTACCCGACCGACCCTAATTTTCATCATCGACCCAAACTTTTTTTTCGTCGTAGAAATCCGGAAGTTACTGGCCGGTCAGTTTAACTTTTACATTCATCTTTGAAATCGAAATTGAAAGTGCAAAAACAAAACCAGCAAATTCAATTTCTACACCAACAAGTTCGTTGCGATTTGCTTACCATTGCGTGGCAGTTGCAGGGGTGTGCAACTAGCATCGCCTGATGCCCGGTGCTACCGTTTTTGGGGTAGTAAAAATTAAAATTATGCATATAATACATGAGAAAAACAAACGGTATTTTCACTCATTGTTTTGCTATTTAATTTCCAACTAATGAAAATTTTTCAGGCAGCATGCTCCAGTTGTTCTTAAATTACTTTAACCTTATCCATTTTGAAGTACTACCTGACTTATTTACTTCAAAAAACGATCGTTTTTTTCCTAATCCGAATTTCCTCCATTCCTCTGTTAATGGTAAATACATGCAGATATCTCTTTCCATACGGTCCCCCAATCAACTAATTGCTAAGTGTTATGTGGTTAAACTTTATATATATGTGGTAGTTGTACTTTTTATATTTTTAAGATATGTATTTTAAATTGTACACATTATTCTCATTCTTTATTTTATTCATTCAGTCATTCACTCATTCATTCAGCGCTGTGCAATGCGATTTACTAACACTCTATGTTGTCTTGTTCAGAGACAAGTTTGTGCCTCTGCTGAGGATCGAACCCGGGACGTCTGGCTTGCCAGTCCAGTGCTCTACCGATTGAGCTAAAGGGTTAACCCACTAGCCCAAGCTAGTAGGATGCCGTTTATCTAAAACTACCACATTTATTGCTGTTACAAGCCTGTGGGCTAGTACTTGATTTTTTTAATTGCACACCCCTGAGTTGTAAGGCAGTTGGTAAGAAACCACCCATATTTCAAGCCAAACAAAAGTAAGGCACCATACAGTGGTAAAACTGTTTTGTAATTCAACCAATTCATGTGAATTTGTGTATAAAAAAATTCAATAAAATAAAAAAAAATTCCTACCTACCGACCCTATTTTATTTCAGCATGTAACAGTAAACAAAGATATTTTTTTGTTTGGCCTTATGTGGAAGCATCCTGAGGTAATGTACATTCTAAATTTTTCAAATCATGACCCCCGGGGGTTGGGCGGGGCCACAATGGGGAATCAAAGTTTTATTTCGTTCGTTATACTTACCAGTCATAAATATACATTAGGATATCTTCCCCTTATTAACGTTCATAACTCGCGGGCAAGCGTTTAAAAGAATAAGATTCAAACACTTATAAGACCGAGATCACATCTCAGGTGCTTGCCCAAGTCAGTTCATCTTCCGGCGTGCAACAGAACGTTCATACTTTTTTGGCAGAGATTTCTCAGCCACAGAGTGATACAAATACTTTGTATTTGTATACGGTATTGGTTTAGATACTCTCTCATGCTCTTAGTTTAAGTATGGAAGAAGCCAGTTTTATTTCGAACGACGAATTAAATTCGGGCTCGGAATTCCAGAATTTACAGTCAGTAATGGAGGCCAAAGGAAAAAAACCGCGGTCCGGTAGGAAATCCTCCAGCAAAGCTAACGAGAAAATGGAACAATTAGAAAACAGAGTCAACGAAAGGTTAGACACTATGATGAATTTTTTAAGAGAAAGTATTCAAACTTTGTCCAGCAGTGTTTTAGAGAATACAGCTTCTCATAATGTACACGAGACAAACGTGTCTCATAATTCGTTAGCGGATCAGGATACCGGTGGTTTATCCACGCGGAGACCTGAGCCCATGGTATCAAATGTAGACGATTCATCTGGAATGCGTCCGATTATACCTTTGGAAAGTGAAGTCCAAATTGAAGGGACATTAAGTGTGCCTGAAATGGACGATATGATATCATTAGCTCCAAGTGTCAGAGAAGTACGTGAGCTATTGGGTGATAACGAATCCTCAGTTCAAGAGGAATCTATTACTGCCCATGATTTTGATAACAATCAACATAAGTTGGACAGCAACAACAACAATAGATTTCAGAACTTGATCAATAAAAGTGACGAGCATACAAAAACTCTAACTGATATTTTTGGCAATGTTTCGTCTTCAGAGGAAGAAAAAACTGGATTAGTTTTAGACAAAACACAAGAGGAGATCTTGAAAAAGTCATGGAGAATTACTGATCCTGAACGCTTGTCTGCGTATAGAGATGAATATAGACAATGTTTCCCTGTTCATCCAAACTCGGCAGCATTTCTACAAGTTCCAGGGCTAGATGACATTTTAGAACCAATGTTAAGAAAAAAACACGGAAATAAAACCAAAGGTTGGGGGAAAAGTAAACATTTAATTTCCCAGCCGTACAAAAGTATTGAAACTTTGGCATATCAGGGACAGATGGCTGCCCGTATGGGTATTATTTCATTAAGCTACATGCAGCAAGCTTTAGGAACGTTGTTAGATTCTATAACTTGTCAAGATGCAGACACAGTTCAAGCAATTAAAGACATTTTCTCCATGTCTACCAAGGCACTAGATCAAATGGGGAGAGCAGGGGCTTTTCACCATCTTATAAGAAGGAAAACTGCAGCACAAGACTCTGGATTATATACCTTGAAGGATATTCATAGCAAAATTATTTGCCTGCCTCTTTCAGAAGATGGCGTCTTTGGCAAGAAATTAGAAGAGAAACTAAAAGAAAGGAAAGAGCAGAAAGATTCTCTTAAGGATTTAATTCCAGAATGGAATGAAAAAAATCAGAAACGCAAATTTTCAGAAAATTCTGCTGAAAACTCTGGAAATTTTAAAAAACCCAGAACTACTACTGTTTTGAATAACAGTT